TCTATCTTTTTTTTATGGCCTCTATTCACCATGATGATAATTCTTGTTTAGAATCCTGGCTATAATAAACGATATGCATAGCATAGAAATAAATACAGAGACAGAAATACTATGTTACAGTTTGACGCTATGAAGCGGCTGATTTATATTTAAAAGATAGTTTTTCATATAATTTTATTGATAATAGTAATGAAACCGAGGCCAATAATTCTACAGAAAGGTCAGAGGTAAATCTGATAGTTTTTAGATAGATAAAAATGTAATATAATGTACTCAATATTTCCATTTTTTCTCCACCTCAGGGGTAAAACCATATTCCAGACAAAAGTTATCTAGTAGAGAAGAAAGAGAGAGAAATACCTCAAAGCCCTTTCTAGTACGATTGTGCTCGATGCGTACAATAAATTGGATAACATTTGTGATTTTTGGCATCAAATTGTCACATCTCCATAACATTCACTTACACAGATTAATACCTAGCATGTTTTATATACTTGATCCACTAGTTAGGTTAATATGGTAGTCTGACGTCAAATCTTGAATTACAATATATTGGCTTTTTACGATATCATTTTGGGAATCAATATATGCAGGGATAAGGATGTGAAAGGGTAATAATAATCATCATTTATTGGCTGTGCAAAACATTTATGATAAGTTGGTATGCGTTTATTTTATAGTGTCAATGCATATAAACATCCCCACTCCAGAATAAAAGATAGAAAGGTGTTGAGATACATGATATCAAGTGCCATATTGCATGAGAGTCAATGAGATAGGCATATGGAGGCACATCCTGAATTTCTATTGCTCCAGCAAGGAAGAAAAAGAATGTGAACAGCAAGATGTTTTTACTGTGACCCATCTTTCTATACTTAAGGAATGTCACAAGATGTGACAAGAGAGTGAGTGTGATAATTATGGCACAGGATACTTTGTTATACACGTAATCAAATTCTATATTTGACATTCTATGGATATGATATGCATAGAACAGAATAAAGATACATTGCAATGGCCTTCTTATGGCCCTTTCCAAGGATGGGCTTCCTATCAGGATAACCCTGACAAATGCCATGTAAAATCCAAAGAGAATAGTCAAGAATGCAAGGAAGTAGTCGCAATTTCTTGTGAAGGAGTTTTCATGAATATGGAAGAGTGTGCTAGCAATGAATGCCAGGTTACATATGTAGTATTGAATATAGTAAAGCTTTCCCAGTCTTGTAACTCTTAGGTGTTTCTTCAACATCTTGTGGAAGCAGAGTATGTTTGTTATGAGGTTTATGAATGAGAAAAGTGCAGAAAAGAATTCTGTCATTCCCAGAACCGGCTGAAATCCCCATCTCCCGTTTCTTTTTATGTTCCCATTGTTTGTAAGTTTGAGGCAGAGAAGATGGCACATACTGCTAGTTTTCTCATCTACATCTCTGTTAAAGATCCAATCAATAAGGCCTGTTTTCACAAAATCCTTTGATTCCTCAAAGCACTTACAAAAACAATACTTCATGTTCCAAGGGATTGGGAAGGTTTTAAGGAAAATATGGTTTGGCGAACCAATGAAAGTGATCCGATAATGTATGATAAGATTTATTTGACTGGTGTACTTCTGATCTCTGTTTGGTTAGATGATCTTTATAGAAGAATACAAGTTTTCTAGCTCCTAATATACTTGAATCTCATTAAAAATTGAAATACCTTTTTAATTCGTGTACCTAATAGCCCTTGGCTTCTGCCTCCCATGTTTAGTCAGAATGCTGGTTATTCCATCCATTCGTTACACACATGGGATATAGAGGTTTCTTGAGAGTTGAGAGTATTTATATACCTCTCATAGTTTTGAAACCACATTTTTGTCTAATGTTTTTATTCGAGCTTTTTGGAAATCCATATCATTAAAAAAATTTTATTTTTTGTTGTCTTGGCTCCCCATTGCGCCAATCATGTCTTTAACCATGTTCATAAGGTCACTGGGGGACTTGTCCTTAACCACTGTATCCAAGACGTCTCTGATGTTCTTATTATTGAAAAGTGAATTGAAGTCGATCTTGCTGTCTTTTAAACCCCCCATTCCCATATTCTTGATCATGTCATCCAGAGAAGCGGCTTGGGTGTTTTCCAAAGACGTATCAGAAGCACCTTTACTAAGGAGGTCGAGTTGCTTTTTCAGAACCTTGTTCTTTGGGTCAACCTCCAGTCCCCTTTCGAAAATTTGGTACGCCCTATTTTTATCTTTGCTAAGATACAACATCCCGAGTCTTATATATAACTTTACAAACTTATCATCAATATTCAGCCCATTTTCACAGTCTTCGATTGCGTTTTCTACCATTCCAAGCTTTGAATATGCTGCGGCCCTATTGGACAGATACACTACATTTGTCGGGTCATAAATAATAGCCTGGGTGTATGAGTCGATGGCAGATCGGAAGTCTCCATCGTTATATTCCTCATTTCCTTTGCTCTTCATGTCCTCGGCTAGTTGTTTGTTCGAAGCCTTTTCTGCAAGATCTAGCTTCTTTAATGCTCCGACAATTGTTTTATACTCCTCTTTACTCAGATACTGTCTTTTCTTATTGAAGTATCTCTCTATCTCTTTCAGATTCATTTTTGGACAAAAACAAAGGGAATATAAATCTTTGTGTTTAACTTATAGAATCTAAATGCTGTGAAGTATAATATTGAAGAGCGATGTAGTAAAGACAAAAACACCGAACAGGAATGCTATATAGGACATAATGACCAATCCTTTTGGTTTTGTTATGTTCATATTGAAATAAAAGAGAGCAGGAAATATCAGGCACATAAATGTTGAAGCAGTTGAACCTATGACAGAGTATATTATTCCAAGACCCATTCCTGAAATGGCTAGGAGACATGTTAATATAATGATACCTGTTGTGACAATGAATCTTAGTGGTTTCTTTCTCGACTCTTGTGTAAATGAGATAATGTTTATGAGATGATTTCTACAAGGATTCACTTGGAGCGGATACGAGACACCCATAACCACCACATAAAGTCCCCTTACTACTGATGCCAGCACATCATTTGGATAGTTTTCCAGAACATTGTCCTTGACTCTATCCCCGTAGAGGAGATAGTTTAGGATTCCAAAGGAAATATATATAACAGCAGCAGAAGTAGCAACCATGTATATGAGTCGTTTCATCCTTGGAAAAGAGTTGTCTTCCATTTCTGAGTGGATTGCAAATATATTCTGATGGCAGGTGAATGAAAATACAAACTTTCCGAACCCGCCCATCCATGCGTAAGAAAATGGAACAAAGTATTCTGCTCTGCTTGGTGTGGAGGCTGGAGTGTATTCATATCTGTAAAGTGCTGCAATTACCACCACAACTATTGCAACAACTCCACAAAGGGACGTATATTTCAACCTATCAAGCTTATTGAAGTAGGCAAAGGGGCCTATGCACGATATAAACGCCAGAAGAGAGATGTTTGGATCCGAAAGAATTGAAACCCCGAAGATCGTTTCTATCAAGACAGGCAAGAGCTGTCTTGTGATTATGAGATATGAGAGAGCAACACCGAAGCATTTGAGAAATACTGAAAAGTCTACTATTATCCTTGTATAGGGCATGCTTTCTGTGGCAAGCCTTGAGAGTGTGGCTGTTCTCCCTAGTTCCTGGCTGCAAATTGCATAAAGAATGAGACCCAGCACGGAGAAAAACCCCGAGAGCATTGTCAAGGCAATACCTATGAGGATCCCATATGTCTTGAACAAGTATGGAAAAGAAAGGATTCCACTACCTATGGATGTTTTGAGAAGTGTGATATACCCTGAAGCCAGTGTCGTGGCCATGTTTACTGTACCCAAGCGCGGTTTTGGGCTTGAGATGTTTCAGATTCGATGGCGAAGCAAAATACTTTTATTGAAATGGCTGAGCACCTCAAGAGGTATTTTTTCTGGACCATATTTCGTAGGCTCTCGCAGCCCTCTCAAGTACTTCTGAGTCACTGACTATTTTTTCCAGCTTGTTGTTTATGTCGCATATGATAGAATGGGTACTTTCAAGGGTGAACTCCAGCCTCTTAAGGATTTTCGACCTTCTTTCCTGGAGAGACAGGGTCATTGAGGGTATTCTCTACCGAGAAGCATATTCAAAGGGTCCTACGTATTTTAGTTATTGCAAAGGGACTGAAGAAAAAGAAATTATTGAAAGAAAATTTTACCCCTATGAAACAAGCACTGGAACAAGTGGAAGATTTTGAAAACTTGAAAGGTAGTAACGCACAGATTAAGGATTTTGAAGATTTGAGAAGCGATTCATCTCAAATTAGAATGTTTGACACGTGGGAGGACTATGGCCTGAAGGAAGACTTGCTGAAAGGAATTTATGGTATAGGGTTTGAGACACCATCTTTTATTCAGAAGGCAGCTATCCAGCCAATAATAGACGGAAGAGACATAAGGGCACAAGCACAAAGTGGTACTGGAAAGACAGGGGCATTCGCTGTTGCAGCACTTCAGATGTGTGATACGAATCAGGATACTACACAAATTCTTGTTCTTGCATCTACTAGGGAGATTGCCGCACAAAATGCAGCAAGGTTTGAGGATCTTGGATGTTTTATGGGTGCAGGAGTGGCCCTACTTTCTGGAGGAAGCCCAATTTCTGCAGACAAAGCGGCATTGGAAAAGAATCCACATATTGTTGTTGGAACACCAGGAAGGGTAGAGCACATGATCAATATAAATGAGCTAAACATGGATAACATTAAGTTATTCGTGATTGATGAGGCCGATGAGATGTTAAAGGCAGGGTTCCAGGAACAAGTAAAGTCTATATTCCGAAGAATTACAAACAAGGACGAGGTCCAAATAGCAATGTTCTCTGCAACATACGATGAAGAGGAACTCCGCGTCAGTGAGGAAATACTTATCAACCCCGTGATAATTGATTTGAGATATAACGACCAAACATTGAAAGGAATAAGACAATACTTTATCGACTTAAAGAAAGAGCCCCCATTCAGAAAGGGAAGAGAGGACTATCTACTTCCTAAGCTTGTGACTCTATATGACATATTCCGTAAACAGCGTCTAGGACAATCGATTGTGTTTATCAATAGCAAGGAGGATGCCAGAATAGTGTATGATTGGCTGATTAAACATGAGTGGGAATGCGAGCTTATATCCGCAGAGCTAACACAGGCCGAGAGAGAAAGAACGCTGAACCGATTCCGAGGAGGAACTGCAAGATGCCTGATTTCCTCCGGGTTGCTTTCAAGAGGAATTGATATTCAGAATCTCTCTGTAGTGTTCTGCTTAGATGTGCCATCATTCGAGAGAAAGAGCACCTACATCCACAGGATAGGAAGGTCTGGAAGATATGGAAGAAAGGGAATAGCTATAAACATTGTTTATGAATACGAGCTGAAAAACCTCAAGGCAATCGAGAGGTTCTATAACACTACCATCAAGGAGCTTCCTGCAGATTTTAGTTTTCAATAAAATGCCCAATGGATTGAAATCATTGTTTTCTATGACCTATTCCTTAATCCAAGAAGAAAAAGAAATAAATATTCTATCGTTATCATGAGTCTTGAAAGAATCCCTGTAGCTCCCTTATACAACTCTCTTCTATTTCTGTAGCCAAGGAAGGTCTGCTCAATGTCCATGTATACCTTTTCAGTCATTCTTGCTACTCGCTTCCAATTATATATATTTTTGAGTCTTTTGTTATAATCCTGTGGATTATGGTTACTTTTTCTTAAGGCCATTAATACCTTCTCTGCAAGATCTTCGCATGTGATTTTGCTGAATGTTATCATATCCGGAGGCAATACCTCGTGTATTCCACCAACATTAGTACTAACTACATGGAGACCACACGAAGCAGCCTCAACTATGGCTATGCAAAAAGTCTCGGTCAAAGATGTATTGAGGAAGACATCCCCTCTCCTCATTATCTCTCCAACCTTCTCGTGATCTACCTCATGCATTATTTCCACCCTGTCGTATAATTCGTTCTCGTCTAACACCTGCTCGATCCCTTCCTTCATAGGCCCGTCTCCTACTATGATAATTCGAACAGTTGGATCTCCTTTACAGATTAATGGTATTGCTCCGATAAGCAAATCTATTCCCTTCCTAAACATAAGTCTGGATGCAACTACAACAGTCTTTTCATCAGATTTCCCTTCCTCCCTGGGGCAAAATATATCTGAGACTATCGCATTTGGAATGACGTGAATCTTCTCGAGGGGAATCATTGTTCTGATGTGAGTATTTTCCTTGGATGTATATGACACACATATGCATCTGTCTATGTTCTTTAATGCGAGGCGACATAGAGCATTGACAACAATGTTTTCAAAAGGGCCCACCTCAAATATTGAATGATCTGTAATCACTGTCTTAAGATTCAATGTTCTTGCATGAAATAAGCCTTCAATACACATATTTGACATTGTTTGATGGCCATGAACTATTTCTATTTTTTCACTGTCAAAGATCTCTTTAAATAGTGGAAGATTGGAATAGAGGCTTGGAAATGTTGTGTTCCTACATAGAACAGGAATGTCAAGAAAATAAACCTTGATAGTTCCCACCATTCTACAACCAACAAGATCTCCAGTCTTATGTGTAATGACTATAACCTTATGGCCCATTGAAATCAACTCCTCACTCAGATATCTTATGTGTGTTTCTATACCACCCGTTGATGGATAGAAGAAGTCTGATACCATTGCAATGTTTAGTCTCTTCATTTGATCCTTGGGCCGTGAGATTTGTTTGGGTGATTTACTAGGTCAATTAATCTAGGATTAGGATACCAAATACTTCTATAATGAAAGAAGTAAAGGTAGTGTTTTGCTTTAGTTGAGGGTTTCTTGCCAACTGACAGCAATGGATGCCAATAGCCTGTTTTCTATTTATCTATTCAAGCCCAATAATGATTCAGGAATATACCCCATTGGGATGGAAGAGATGAAACGCCTTCAAAAGGTTTACCAATTATTTGCAGAATCACCTACGGAAAGAGTTCCCACAGAGAGGCTTGGAGATATTCTAAGATTTGCAGGATATATCATATCTGAAGGTTATGCAGGAGAGCTTATGGCTTCTATTCCTGGAGAAATGTTTGATTTCAACCAATTGGTAGACATATGTGAAAGAATCAGAGAAAGGGAAATAACACGTGAAGAGCTGCAGAAATCCTTCAGAAGATTGGATGTAGATAACACATCGCACATCGATGCTGGAAAGCTGGTACAGATTCTCTCTTGTGGGGAGAATAAATTTACTGAGGAAGAGATCGAAGAGCTCTTGAACATCCTAAGTCCTGATGGTGATGGAAAGATCTGCTACGATCTAGTCATTAAGAACATATTTGGATATTAAACCCTATGTTTTATTCTATAGTTTTTTACTTTTTGAGTCCTTCGAGCTGTGCAGTCAATTGAAATTTCGTACTACCGATGCCGTACGCCATTTCCTTGTGCTCAACTACTAAAGATTCTCCAATGAACCTTGTAGACATTGGATGAACTTTGTCGCCGATCTTTAGTCCACAGCTCCCGTCCTCATAGACAACTACCTTTGATGTGGAAATATCAAAGGGAAGGGTAAGTAAAATTCCCTCCTGCTCTCCAAGAATAAACGAATGCTCTAGAGTGTCCTGGCCTATTGATTTAGGAGCGTATTCTCCTTGATTCTCGAACACAAACTCTTTTTTTGTTACAGGTTCCTCCACTTCAAATAATTCTTGACTCTGTGGAATCTTTGGCTCGAAAGAATACTTGGATGCTGATTTTTTTGGCCTTACATTCATTATGGGGCCCTTGGCACTCTGCAATAATTCTTCGATATTTTCCTCCTCAGCGAATGTTAACTAAAATAAGAAATGTACTTCCTGGAGATGAGGTGTCTTCTAATGACTCGAAATCTCTTGGTATCCACGAAAACAAGGCCATGATAGTAGGGACCTTATGCAGAGCATCAAGGCATCTGTTTGTAATATCAAAGACAAACAGATATCATCCTTGCATTGACGACATTGTAATAGGAAAGGCCATTCTCACCTCCCAAGATATTCACAGAATGGATTTAGGGGGGATGGTAGGGGTACTCCCATCTCTTAGTTTCACCAATGCGACAAAAAGAAATAAGCCGGAAATAAGTAAAGGAGATTATCTTTTATGTAAAATTGCCCGCATGGGCATCGAGCCGTTACTTACATGTTTGGGAGAAGGCTTTGGAAAATTGAACGGAGTTGTGCTTCCATTAGACCCTTGGAAGGTACGTCTTCTCTATTTGAGCACCGCGTTGTCCACAATAGGAAAAAAGTACAAGTTTCGAATTGCATTAGGATTGAATGGGTTTGTTTGGATTGAAGCAGAAAAAGATACCGATATAAGAGATATATACCACCTTCTGCATGAAGATCCACAGGCCAGCCTTTCAGCATGAAGAGAGCTGCATAGGAATAAATGCTTTGAACTTAGTTTTAATTAACTACTGGGTCTCGGTGGGTTCAAGAATAGTGATTCTGTCAGGAAGAGGATAGTTTGGCCCAATCACTCCTTCAGGATCATATGGCAACATTATCCTAACCTGAATGCCAATAACACCTTGCTTAGTTTCAACGGTAGCATATCCTGTGTTAATGTAGTCCTTAACTGCATTCCCACTATGGATTAGTACTCCGTCCTGGAACTTCACAGATTTAGCACGTTGTCCCTTCAGCTTTCCACTGACTATAATCTGGCATCCTTGTGCCCCTGAATGCCTTGTAGCCTTTAGAGCCATATTCACAGCCCTTCTGTATTGAACTCCTCCTAGTATTTTTTCTCTGATAAAATTTGCTTGGATGAGTGCACAAAGCCCCTTTTCATGGACCTTTTCAACAATTATCTCAACATTCTCATCGGGAACTTCAAGTCTTTGTGCAACTAAATGTTGGAATTGCTTCAACCTGAGCTTCTTTTCTCCTATTGCTTCATGTGGCTTTGCGACCTTTAGAATAATCTTTATGGGAGTCTCCTGCATCCGGAGCTCCATAGTGCTAAAACCTTCATTCACAAGTACCTTCTCAAAAAACTCCTTTAGCTCTGCATTTATAAGCCCATTCTTCATGAACCTTTTCAGAACTTGATCATCACTCATTTCGAGGGCAAATTTTTTATTTCCTGAAATCACCCAGGAGCATCCTGGATATGTATAATTTCGAACAATCACTGGAAGAGGTCCTTAATGAATACAATGAAATCCTACAGGTAAGTGAATCCATTTAACTTTAGGAATACAAGAACGATATTTGCAAAGCTACTTTCTTGTTAGACAAGTTGAGGAGTATTTTTGGAAGTAAATAGCTTCAGCCACTTTTATGTTCGGAAATATAGACATTCTCTATCTTTGATTCTAATAGCTTCACTCCTTCCTGAATACCACTTTCGTTGGTTGAATAAGCAGGCAAATCCTCGGAACTCATTTCGTGAAACTCATATGGATCGACATCAATACCCAATTCATTCGTGAAAGCGACCCATCCGTCTTCTGGCTCATACTTATACTTTTTTTTGAAGTATGTCAAGACACACTCGAAATCTCTTCTGAGATGATGTATCGCCCTCTCATCATTACTTCGGATGCATTGAGGAAAGTCTATAACCTTTATGTCATCTTTCACTAGAACATTGAATTCATTAAAGTCTCCATGCACATATCCCCTCCTCCATAGATCCTTGATAAACTCTATCATAAGGTGAAAAATCGTTTTTACATCCGACACCCTTGTCTTGTAAAGAGGTAGGTAATCTAACAGTTCCTGTACAATAACATGCCTATCATAGTCAAGTACCGCAGGAACATTCATATCTTTGAACTTTTCTAAGTACATAACTTCTCTTTTGCAAGAAGCTCTGGAGAGGCCAAACCAGTCAATTCGCTCACTAGCATACTCTCTGTTCTTTCGAACATTTCTGAAACTAGATCTCCCAAGTCTATGGAATTTTAGTACACAGTCCTTTCCACAATATACGCCAAGATAGATATCAGACTCTTTTCCAATTCCTATCTTCTCCCCCATCATCTCAAGCCCACGTAATCTTAAGGTGTTGATAGCAAGGCAATCGTGCCCAGAATATGTCAGTTTGTATCCATTCTCAACATAAGAGAGAAATTTCAGTTTACATAGATCTATTGCATGCTCCATGAAGTTCCCTCTTATTTGTGATCTGTACTTTAGCACTTCAAAAGGAATAATCGTGTGAGATTTCATGCACTTCTCTGCAGTCTTAAGTATCTTCAAATGTTCTTTGGAAAGAGACCAGACACCATCGGTTATAAGCTTCATCGGGGTATCAAAATTGGAACCAGCCAAAAACTTGCATTCCATAATTTATCTTTCAATCGCATTGTACTCCATACATCCCAAATATCGAGGATATTCTTGTCTTGCATGGCTCGTTATCCATCTCTTTGAAGTAATACCTTTTGACATATTCTATAAGTTTGAAGAAAGGCCCTCGACATTCTCTAAATAGTAAACCTCCAAGTATCGAAAAAAAACATTCTACAACATAACATGACAATTTGTTCTGCCTCGAGTTCAGCACAGATGCAATAAAAAACCATGCTTCATCAGCATTATTCTGAATCTCAAGAACACCAAAATAAATGCTGTAGATCCCTTTGATCGTGCTTACAGAGGCCTCCCTAGTAAACAAAATAACTCGGAAGTACTCCATCAACTCAGAAGAGTAAAACATACAGAACAGCTCTGCAAATTCTCTGTATGATCCAGGGCACGAGCTCACCTGTAACCTCCCCTGCTCGATTATCTTTAATGTAAATGTCTCTACAAATACATAAGAATGAGAATATTCCTTAAGAACATTGAATATTTTATCAACTTGCCCAGCCTTTCCACTAACCTGAGTCATCCTTTTATTGATCTGGATTTTCGCCTGCATTTGTGCAGTTTTTGGCATAATAAGTTTTTCTCTCCAAATCTTTTCCTCTATCAATACATAAGCTTTGCTAAGAATAAATCTTGAAATAAACTCTTCAGTAAAGGGCACATTTGTGGGGCATGAGGACTGTATTTCATTGGTAGTCTTTTGTAACTCTTCACTAGATCTAGAAAAGGTGGAGGTAACAGGAGCATCCTTGTGTCTTTCTTCAATCGCCTCTTCCATAGAAATATTCTCCGTTTCTGCAGAATCATTCTCTTGATCAAGAAGCCTTTGAAGCTCCTCTTCAATACTCTGGTTTGCCTTTTCCCTCTCCACTAAAAGTCTGTATGCTAGTTCGTCGACCTTTTCCCTACGCTTCCTCTCAATTTCTCCGTAGTTCAAATGTTTTCCCTCCCCATTCCGTTCGCTGTGGAATTTCTTCTCACCCCACATCCTAGGGCTTGGATACCTAAACGTCTTTCTGCTACAGTCTCCAAAAACAGTCAATATATAGTTAAAGAACATTAAATCATCTTTATTAGATATCTCCCCTATCTTGTCTTTCGATGCTCACGTTCACATTCTAGTACCTCAATAATATCCCCCACTGCCACAGGGCCTTTAACTGCCCTTTGGATCGTTCTCTTATTATGCATAAGCTCCATCTTCACCTGAGTTAACAGCCCAGATCCCCCAGTCCTTCCAAGCACGTGTGTAACCTTCCCAAAAAATTCCTGCTGTTCCTCCATCCTTTGTAGGGATAAAATTTTTCGGTTTCTAAAACATCCACCCCAAATGTCTCTTCCAGACAAGATAATCCGCACTCTCAAACAGATGGACAGGCCTTCAGAGTTCCAGATATATAGAGACATTCTTGCAGAAAAGCCAAAGCTTCCACCCGTAGAATGGCATGATCTATGTAAGCTCGTCAAAACAAGCAAAGTATATAACATCCTGAGGATGGACTTATCCAGAAAGGAGGCTGAAGTTCTTGGAGGTGCATTGAAGAAGGTCTCATTGAACCATGTGGACGACATGGTAGATATCCTGGTCAAGAAGAATGATAAAAACACTCCTATACTTCTAAGGTATCTACTTGAGAAGAAGAAAAAGATATCCATAGATGCAGTCCAGAGGTATTTCTGTGAAGAGATAAAACGCCCAATCACTTCGAAACATCTCAAGTTACTTCTTGTGATGTGCAGGAACTATCCTTCATCCATAAGTCCTGCGATCCTTGATTTTTGCAGATCTAACGGACATCCCATTTGTAGGGAAGTTTTGGAATCAGCCATGGATGTTATTGAATAGAGAAAAAAGCAAGCCAGCCTTTAAACTAAGTCTGAAAATAAAAAACTTATCCATATAGATTAGGCCATTTGATCTTTCAGTTTGTCAATCTTCTCTAGAACTTCCTTTCTCTTCATAAATAATTCTTCCATGTATCTTTCAAACTCCTTTCTAACTTCTTCATTCTTCCCAAAGACTATCTCTGTATCCTTCTCCGAACCGTCTTCTTCGAATCTGATATGCGTTCCACTTGGTATGGGAATGTACTTCTCTAACTTCATCTTTGATCTCTGAATCTCATTGTCGATATAGGCCTTTATCTTTCCAAGCTCTTCAAGAGTAGGCTTGTCAACCCTGTACACGCTGCGTCCATCTTTCCTTACAGAATGGTACCCAAAGAAGTACTCCTGTCCACTTTTGTTTCTTATCTCCTCTCTGGCTTTTTTAATCTCATCTCTTTGTTTATTGATCTTTGAAAGCCTCTTCACCAACTCCTTCTTTTTCTCAAGTTTCCCATACTTCCTGCGGCTCTTTGGCTGTATTCTTTCCTTATATATCTTTTCTCTCATCTTTCCTGGGCACCAGATCGTACCACTTTTACAAAGTCGAAATCTAAAGAATATAAATCCATTGAACAAAGCAAGAGTTCATCTTCTTTTCTTCACTAGTATCTTGTTACATCCGATCTGTGGACATATGGCCCTAGAGTTGTTTCTGATATACTTCATAGCCTCTTTCTTCTCCAATACATGGCCACAATCTCCGATATATGCATCAACCACCTCTTTTTGGCTAATGGGACATATCAGCTTTCTTTCCATCCGAACACATTCTACTTGCTCCTTCTTATTGGTCAGCTCAATCATCTCCGGATGGATACTAATCTTACTGTTTAGAATAGAGTAGAAATCATCATTCAAAATGATATTCCTATTTGAAAGAAGTTCCTGGTGTATTAAAATCTTCCGAAGCAGCTCTTCTGAAGGATCATCGGTCTCCATGATCATGCTCTTTGCTTTTCTCAAAACCTCTTCTCTTCTTAAAATATGTTCTTCCATAGAAGGACCTCGACACCTTTTGTTTATATCGCCATCTTGCTGGCCCTATGAACCTTGATAATGAACAAATAGATATGTTGAAGGATGATCCCGAGTTCAAGGAATACTATGAAACCATGGAAAGAAAGAATGGAACTACGGAGGCTATACCTTCCATGAAGTTCCTAAGGAGAAATGTAGAAGTAACCCAGATTATGCTTGGAGATGAGTTGTTGAGCCTTCCTAATAGGATTTGGCTGTTTTCTGATAAGAATGTGGTGTACATATGTGATCAATGTCTGCTGCAGTATTGGGATTCCGTTTCTTTCGATAATCACAGAAAGGATTGCTCCTCAGGTGCGCCAGGGAAGTATGTATACATTGATGAGAAAGAGGGCATATCTATACTTGAGATTGATGGAAAAAATGAAAGTGTTCTATGTAGAAGAATCTGTACAATAGGAAAAGGCTTCATACGAAGAAAAACCTTATATTTAGATGTTGATGGATATCTTTTCTACGTCCTATTCTGTGGAGGGAAACTTGGTGGATTCTTTAGTAAAGAAAAAGAAAGCACTGAGCATAACCTCTCTTGTCTTTTAGTGTTACCTCCATATAGATCTAAAGGATATGGGTCATTGATGATAGATCTAAGTTATATCCTAGGAACAGGAACCCCAGAAAAGCCTCTAAGCAAGGAGGGTCGTACTGTTTACAAAAAATATTGGAGAAACAAAGTGCTAAATACGTTGAAAAAAGCTACTGAGCAAGAGATGTCGATAAAGGACATATCTGCCGAATCAGGTCTTTCCATAGACGATACTATTCACGGGCTGGAGCTCTTGGGTATAAGCCCCGAGAGCCATATTTACGACGTAACTGACAAGGTTTCAGTACTATCCAAAGAATGCAAGAAAGACTGCTTGGTTCTTCAAGTTAAGATTTAATATAAATGCAAGACTTTGAATTTGATATACTTTCTTATTAGCTATAACACCCACTTTCATCTGCAGGGTTACTGATTCCAAATGCCTCCACAAGAGCTGTATATATCTCATACCTTTTCTTACTCTTATCAACATTAGAACCTGTACATTCCAGTGCTCCATTAATTGCTTTTGTAGTGGCTCCAAAATGGTTCTCTTTGACTCCTGGGGCATTTGCAACCTTTGATTCCCAGTAATATATCGATACATCCGCTCCAAGATTTGGATCTTCAGCAACCTTCTCTGGATTGTTGTAAAGCTCGTCTCCTAGGCCCAAGGCTTCTCCTGCGGCCTTGTAATTGTCAGGCCATGAGAGCTGTATAAATCCTCGTCCATGGTAGGATTTTCCAGGAGCTCCACTTCCATATTGCCCAGCACATCCTGTCCCTCCGGCACATGCTATCTCCTCGATATATTGATATCCTCCAGATTCATGAGCACACTGAGCTATAAACATTGCCGCTTCATTCATGTCATTGAATTTTTCATTTACTCTAGAGACAATTGCGTCGATGTACTCAGGTTTTGGCGAATATCCCAGCTTCGTCATTGCTTGGGTCAGCTGATCAGATGAGATACTCACTCCTCCTCCTTTTGAATCCCCAGTTCCGGAAGAAGGCTTGGAACTTCCAGAGGAGCTACCTGGTGGCTTCTTACCTTCAGAAGCCCCAGAATCTTTTCCGGCCTGGGCTCCCCCCTGTGGAGACGTAGGTCCATTCCCTCCTCCGTCTTGCTTCCCACTAGAATTACCTCCTCCAGCTCCAGAGGAAGGCTTCTGAGACGTTTTCCCACTCTTATTAGTCATACCTCCAGATCCTTGGGGTTTTCCTTGATCTGCTGATTTCTGTGTGCTACTTGGGTTACTTGGAAGTGAAGGAGTAGATGTAGGCTTTGTACCTGCTAAAGAAGAGGAAGCCGGCGAAGATTGGTTTCCTGACGATCCAACAGGACCAGGGGGAATAGAAGATGGAGGAGACGATGAATTAGAAGTTGACTTCCCTGGCGAATTGCCTCCTCCTGTACCACCTTGGGTGGAAGGAGAAGCAGAGTGATTAGATATCGAGGCTCCTTTACCTGGGTCTTGGGGTGCTTGCGATTGAGAAGGTGGTAAGGACCCTATCGGCTTCACCTTTGATTCAATATCACTTGATGTATATTCTAACTTTATCTCAGTTGGCTGCTGCTTTTGAATAACTATTTTTGTTACAGTAACAGTAGTAGTGCTATCTTTTCTTGAAGTGCTGATTGTTTTTGTTACAGTCTTTGGCTCCTTCTTTTTATTTTCTTTTCGTTCCTTAGATTCATTCTTTTCTCCTAAGCTTTGGCGCTTACTCTTCCCAATCTCATTCTTTGGGCTTCTCTTCTCTCCAATTTCTCCATTCTCCATCTTCCCGTGGTTCTTCTTTCTTTCCCCTTCATCGTCCTCATCAAATCTGTCCTCTTCTGGCTTTTTATTGTCTTTATTATCTTCATCTTGATCATCTTTGGAATCCTGCTTTTCCTCAGGATCCAAGGAATTTGAAGACTCATCTTTCTTTTTAGATTTGGTCTTGTCACGAGCCTCCGATTCCCCTTTGTTGGTGCGGGGGACACAGGCTATTTCGTTACCTTTAACGGCACACTCTGTACCAGTAGGGCAATCAACATATATCCATTGATTCTTTATTCCGCACACCCTCAGGGTGTTTGCAACACATTCTGCAGACCCAGAAACGCAGGCGTTCTTTGCAAATGTTAGGCCTAAAAAGAAGACCAGCATTCTATCTAATACATTTGATACAAATTTATCAACAAAGACCTCGAAACAATGGTTTCACAACTATAATGATAATACCTTGAGTACTGGCACATACCAAATTCTGTTTTAAATGTAATGGGATAGCCCGTTTTGCAGTATATTGTCCCTAACTACCAGACAATTATCAAGAAGTAATTGCATAGCCCTGATGGACTTGCTTGTGAACAAATATCGTCCAAATGGGGTCCAGGACATAGTTGGAAACCATACAACAATAGAACTTATCGCACTTATTATTGAGAGTAGAGATATGCCACATCTATTGCTTTCAGGTCCTCCAGGAACAGGAAAGACAACCTGTGCAAAGATACTTGCAAGAAAGCTCCTACCTAATAAGGAGGGATTATTAGAACTGAATGCATCAGATGAAAGAGGAATAGACACTGTCAGAACTACCATTAAAAGTTTTGCTCAGAGAAGAATCAAGGACTGCGGGTTCAAGATTATAATCTTGGACGAAGCAGATTCTATGACTGCAACTGCCCAGCAGGCAATGCGTAGGGTGATGGAGATACATAGCTCGGAATGCAGATTCATCTTGATCTGCAATACGCTCACAAAGATATTTGAACCTATTCAGAGTAGATGTGCAATACTAATGTTTGAAAGAATAGACCATTCTACGATTCTTGGAAGATTAAGGGAGATATCTAACGATGAAGGTATCAAGATAAACCGTGAAGCTCTTGATCTTATTGTTGAACTCAGCGATGGAGACATGAGGCAGTCCTTAAACATTCTTCAAGCATGTATTAACTCTTCAGAGACAATAGATCAAAATCGTATAGTTAAGATAATAGGGCTTCCGTCTCCAAAAAGAATTGAAAAGGTTTTGGAAAAGCTTATGGAGAATAATGTTGAAGAAGCCTTAGAGATGTTTGACAAAATCTGGGATGAGAAGTTCGATCCCCTAGATTTGATAGGCTCATTTTTCAAAGCTGCAAAGAATATGGAGAACTACGATCTACTTAAAGTAATCGGACTAGCAAATCTAAGAATATCTGAAGGCGTTAACTCAAGACTTCAGTTCTATGGAATGTTTCATGACATCCTTAACATGGGAAGTAAGAGATTATAAATCTCATCTAAGTTTATTTGGTGTTTCTAAAGGAAGTACTTTTCTATTTGAGTCGGATCCTTATCTAGGACAATAATATTTTTCCCTAGTGCCTTTTTACAATCATCTTGTTTACAACAGACAAATCTTATATCAAACCCTTTTGTCTCTGGAAGCTCAGCCAGGTCGTCCACGCTCCCTAAGAAGAAGAAATAGGTCACCAATGGATCGTCAATGCCATATCTTTCAAAGAAATCGCCATCTCTCTGAACTACATCATATACAACCATATTCTTGTATGTAACTTTGTAGGTCTCAAGGGTCGGAACAGTCTTTCCATTGATCCCCATCAATGCATTGAGTGTTCTTGTTTTTCCTGTTCCACGGGGGCCAACAAACTTTATGGCCTTTGTGCTTCTTCTTGTGAAAAGATGTGCTGCAATTCTAATAAGAATGGCAAGTATGACAACGAAAAAAAGAAAGAACATGGGTAACAATACATCTGGATTATTCATTACTTTTCAGCCTAGTGTTTTGGTACCAGGGAGCAACAATTATCCAGAGAAAATTTTGCCCCTTGAAATGAGCGCGGCATTGGCTAACATGTGCAAGGCTATCAACAACGCCAGTAGGGCAGGAAAAAGACAGCTCCTTTTGAGGTTTTCGACAGAAGAAATGCGCAAGTTTCTTTTTCAGATGCTGAAATATGGCTATATCTCAGGGTTTTCTCACATACATGACAAGAGAAATGGAAAAAGCATCATCGACCTGAATGGCAGGCTCAACAGATGTGGAGCCATCTCCCCTAATTATATAGTCAAAAGAAATGGAATTGAGAACTTCAGGGCAAGACTCCTGCCTGCTAGGCAGTTCGGGCACGTCCTGTTCAACACATCAAAGGGCATTCTTGACCATAAGGAGTGCTTGGAAGAAAATGTCGGTGGGAAAATCCTTGGGTATTTCTATTAAAACTTATTTCTTTTCATGGTGCCTTTTAATTAAAAATAACCAGCTCTTCATTATTTCTGATCCAGATTCCACATGAGGCAAAATCGGAGATAACATCTTCAACTTCGCTAGAACTGTATTTGCTCTTTGTGGCCTCCCACAAATGTGTCAGTCTCACATACTTTCTGTTTCCTTCTTCGATGGCAAGAGAAAGAATGAGATTGTATATTTCCCTCTTACTGGATACCTCTTCTTTCTTTTTCTTTGGAAGAGGAATCCTTGTCACATCCATAAGCCTTAGTGCTTCGTTGATATCTTCTTCACTCACCTCTGTAGAAAGCCGAAGTCTACAGTGTGCAAGACTTAGCCTAATGAGTGACAGAAGATATCTAGGCGTTACATAAGGGTTTTCCTTCCTAGCCTTTACATATGCATCCGTCAGCCTACTTGAAAGATGAGAAGGGAGTATAGGATCTATTTTCTTTGCTTCGTCGATAATCCCTCGGATTTCATCATAAGGGATCGATTCAGGCTCTTCTTGTAGATGGAGAGATGTAATGTGATTGGCAAGGCTTTCATCCCTCTCCAGATTGGGTTCATCCCGGAGAATGGCAACAACATCAAATCTTGAAAGAAGAGCGCATGGAAGTCCGATATTATGTTCAACACTCTGCTTTATATCATACCTTCCCCGAACGGGGTTGGCTGCTCCAAGAACACAGCACCTTGCATTCAAACTTGTATTAATTCCTGCTTTGCTAATAGACACGCTTTGCTGTTCCATAACTTCATGGATGCTAATCCTATCCACCTCATTCATTTTATCCAACTCGTCTATACAGCATATCCCTCCATCAGCAAGAACCAAGGCCCCACCTTCAAGAATCATCTCCCCAGTTATCTGGTCCTTAGTCACACTCGCTGTAAGACCGACACCACTAGACCCCTTTCCTGTCGTATACACACCCCTCCTGCTTATCTTTACACACGTCTTCAAGAGCTGGCTCTTTGCAATCCCCGGGTCTCCTACAAGCAATACATTTATGTCTCCCCTTATCTTCATTCCATCTTCGCGAACTCTCCCAGGTGCTCCTACAAGCATCAGAAGCAAAATCTTCTTTATGTCTTCCATTCCAAAAATCTCTGGTGCTATCGATCTTACCATTTGCTCCACAGGATACTCTTTTATTTCCTTATTGATATTGAGTGCCTTAGTCCCAATCCTTTCGATGCTAGTGGTATAAAGATAAATGTCGGCAAGTAGCCCAGCTTTCAGCTTCTTTATCCCATAATATGGCTTTGGCATAAATACTCCTCCAGCCACAATTACATCCCCAGGCCTGCATTTCTCTGCTAGGGAAGAATAGCATTCCATCACCAGTGTCCTTGGAATACATCCGCGTGGAATGTCCCCAGTTAGCTCCTGTATATAAACAGTTTGATGTTTGATGAACTTCGATCCTCTGGTTACAAGAATTAAAGTTCCCCGGACATTTCTGATTCTACACTTCTCGCTTCCACATTCCTCAAGGAGATCAAATACATCGCCATCCACCTGCTGATATGTCTCGGCTCCGCAGTTCTCACATATATAAGTTGCAACCTTGATGCTTGGCTTCACTTGACTAACCTTTGTAACAATCCCACTTACTCGAACCAAAGACCCAATATGCATGGATCTCAGTTCCCGGACAGAATACACTTTGGTGTTTCTTCTTGGCTTCAGCACTAATGAGTACCTTCTTAACAAAAATGAAGGAAATACATCCGTGGCCTTCTTCTCTGGGAATCTTTCCTTGAGCCTTGAAACTCTATGGTAAAAGAAGACATCCTCAGGCTCCTCTCCTACAGCAATCTCTCCACTATCAAGGAGAATCTCATCTATCACCATATATAGAAGATTTATATAAGACATTCCATTTCCTTCAATCCTATTCACAAGCCCACTCTCGTCATATACCGCTATATCTTCCATATCAATCTCAACACACCCCTTGGATTCTCTAAGCCTATTGACATAGGTAAGCTCCCCATCTTCCTCATGGAAAAGCAGGAACTTCTCTAGCCTATCCTTATCCAATTGGTAATCGATTGATGTTTCAAACCTCCGTAGTTCGCTAACTTGATTCATCCCTAGGGATATAAAGAAAAAGATAAATCATTGAAGACTAAAGCTGATTCAGAAGAAGTTTTATTGAAATTCCCTATAAGGATTGTCAACAAAATTGACTTCACACCGGGTCATCTTTCTGCGAGTGGCCCAAGAAACCTTGCAAATTACCTAATGGATTCGAGTTTATAAAAGTCAGGTAGTACCCTTAAGGAAAGATCAAAACTCTCATTACTAGATCCCTCAACAGTTTGGACAATCTTGCTGATATCCTCAGGACTCATCTTCCCTGCAACATCAATGGAATCAAATGATCCATTACTGTCCGAAAACGTTATACTAGTCCCGCTAATATCAATAAGCTTCAGCTGGACCTTTTCGGGCCTACACACAATAATGGAATCGTTTCCAGTGTATATCCCTTTATGGTTTGACCCAGTGCAGAGAATCTTTGATGAAATAGTTGTCTTGGCTGCTCCATGCTTTCCATTTTTCACAGAAGATGTGTCAATGACCTGTGCAGACCTCAGCTGGCCATTAACGTCAACCTTTATATAATTTCCAGGTCTTATATCCTTAGGACTGGTAGGTGTTTCCTCAAATCTTAGCTTTTCCATCCCGGGGTCACCTAATTTTTCCTTTTTTGCTTCAAAAAAATAAAATAAACCACAAGACTTTTATTCCTTTCCAGAGCCAAATGCATCAAGAAATTCCTTTGTTGTCACATACTTCCTCAAGTCACTTGCTCCCCCAATAAATTTCTTATTGAGAAAGATCTTAGGAAACGTGGGAAACTTATATTCTTCCTCTATCTCCTTCGAAAGCTCTTCATTCTCAGTGTTCTTGATCTCATCAAACTCAATTTTCCATTCATTCAATGTTTTTACAGCATCCAAACAAAATGGGCATCCTCTCTTAGAAACCACTAAATTCGCATTTCGACTCAGAGCCTTCTCCAATTCTCCTTTCTTCATTCTAGCCCTTGACGCTGAAAATTATTATATCCTTCAGCTGATCTTGAATGTTTTTATTTCCTTAATAATACCTTCTTCCTCTCTAATCGTGCAAAGCCCTTCAATCATTTCCTTATCTTTCTCAACATCCTCGACAAACAACCTGTACTCCATTTTGTTCTCATTGGCTATGTCTATCTTCCATACAACATCATTCCTTGGCATCTTCCGTACAAGAACCACCTCCGGCTTATCCGCACACTCAACAGTTAGGTTCAGATGACGGAGATCATATCCTAGCATTTCATCGTCCTCTTCTACATTTCCAAGATGGAATCGTGCCTCAGAAAACTCGTTTTGGTTAGATGTCACAGTAAGATCGTATCCTATTCCTTCTCTTCTTCTGCTATTCTTCATTACAACAGTGTACCTTGTGAAGTCTTTCGAGCTCATAAGTATTCTGAATTCATCGTGGTTGCTCCAATAAAATGACCCTGCAATCTTTACGCTCTTCATAGCATTCACATCAAAGAGAACAATACTTGTAGCTATCTTCTGGATAACCGCCAGGCTTCCAATTCCGAGGCTCTGTTTAACCTTTTCCCCAACAACAACCAGATCATCCTTGCACAACGGAGCAATTTCAACAGAATAGCTAAACTTGTAGTTACATTTGCTAGTATGAACGTCTTTGCTTATCAACCTTTCAGACATCTTGGTTCTAACAGGAAGAACATTTTGTAGAAAGTTCACCATTCTTATTGCTGCATTTCTATCAACATAATAGAAGTCTAGTCCCTCCTTCCTTTGCTTTATATTGCTGGTGTCCTCATATGCACTATTTTTGAGAACAAGATGCTCCAAATATATCATCATCCTCTTATGTCTACCTTTGTGCCTTACTTGCACCAAACTGTTCCAGAACTGCTTTGCTTCTACCTTTGCACAGTCCGGGCATTGCATATTCCTAATAACATATTTCATTTCCAAAGGCTGTTCTATCCCGCACTCCCTGATAGTAAGTCCTATCATAATCCTCTTTGAATTGGGTTCAGTATAGATAAAATTCGAATCGACAATGCAGAGCCCATTGAGCGTTTTATTCTTCTTTATTAAGAACAATAGAAACTCCTTCGACCCCCAAGAGAACTCCATCCAGCTTTTCGGCGGTTGAAGATAACGCTCACACCCCCTACATCGCTCTACAGAAAGGCTTCTCTTCACTTTTGTAGATATAGTAACCTCGGTAACTAAACATCTGTCACACATGTTCATCAGCCTTGGCTCAATAAGTATCCCACATTTACAGCATAGAATCATCCTAAGTAGGGTGAATAATTAAACTATTTAATCGTCCGAAATCAACAGTCGTGAAATAATTCATTCACCTCTTCTACATTTTGGATGGTAACACATCCTCCATATGTCTTCAGAAGAGGAATAAGACTTATGCAGTACCTCAATCCTTTTGAGATGCTTAGATTCACAAAAAAAGTAAGTGCATCGCCATCCATTTGCAATTCTTCTTCTTTTAACCTCATCTCGATAATCTTCATGTTAGACTCGTCTGTGTTCTTCTTCACAGTTATGATCATAATCCTATCTAGCAGATCCTTTGTAATTCCAAAAGGCCCAAGTAGCCCGTTACTCCCTTTTATTGGTGCCATTCCCCTATTAGAGGCAAATATCACTGTTGGGCTAAGAGGTGACTCAATGATCTTGTGAAGAAAGGTGAAGCATTCAACATCAAGTAGATGGACTTCATCAATAAAGAGAATCCCAGGAACAATCTCAGCGTTTCCCTTCTCTAGATACTCGTTCACCATTCTATTAACATCATTCCTCAGCCTTTCTGTTATCTCTGTCTTCTTAGGACTCAGTATCCGAAAGACAAGGGAAAGCATATCCTGCCCAGTAGGCTTGGCATTTGCCATATCCAAATCATGAAGCGTTACAGATTGGATCACCTCCTTTCTTTTCAAAACCTCTCCCTTAGGAATAGGAACATAGGTATCAGCCTCAAGATCAAAATCGTTCATATGAGCCTCACTTCTACCCAGTTTCTTAATAACCCCTGAATTGACCTCTATATAAACAACATCTCCATTGACTATTCTCTGTTTATCTATTTGTTCATAAAGTGATGATGCAAGTTTAAGCTTCTTGGACTCTTTACTTGTCTTCAAAGTAATAAATATCTCCTTAACTTTCTTAGAATAAGAGCTCAGTGGATTTTCTTCATCTAAAATCCGAAGCTCAACAATTTCCCCTTCATAGATATCTTTTAATTCTCTCATCCGAACTAGAATCGACCTTCTTAATGCTTCCTCAAGGACCTCAGTTTTCTTCACCTCGTTTGAGTACACCTCGCTGCCACTCATAGAAGTAAATGGCGTTCCAGGCCCAAGCTCCTCACTTATCCCAACAGCAAGAGCCGTCTTTCCACATCCGGCAGGCCCAGATATAAGCACAGCTCTCCCAGACATTCTCTTTGTTTTGACCATCTCTACTATGAGCCCTGCTGCTTCCCGTGCATCCTCTTGCCCAATAACAGCATTTGGCTTCTCAATAGGTCTTCCAAAGATATCTAATCCCAGAGACTTTACATGGCTATGTATTGCTATGTTACTACTCTTAACCATCCTGGGGATAGTGTTTAACAGCCCAATGTATCTTTTTAATTACAGACCCCGCAAGAGTCTGAATCTGGATACACCCTGCCCAGAGCCCAGTTCCTGTAGCTCAGTCGGTAGAGCGCGGCTCTCCTAAAGCTGAGGTCGTGGGTTCAAGTCCCACCAGGAACGTCTTTTTGTTTTTGTACCCTCCAATCGTCTAAATCTGTTTATTATTAAAGACGGCCTATCTAAATAATATCTAGGATCTGTAGTCTCATGGATAGAAAGAAATAGGAAACTCATCGAAGTCTACCTTCATTAAATCCATCAGTATCATTTTCAAGATATCTGTGTCCGTATCAAGCATTTCACTTGGTCTTCTTATTATCAAAGGCCCAAACTGTCTATATATTTCATCAATATCCACTTCATTTTCCCCAGTGTTTGTTTCGATTGCAAGGAAAATATTTTTCAATGACTTAAGAAACATTCTGTTTGGATCACTTAGCACAAAAGGAATCCTAGGAATTATTATCTCTTTCCTCTCATCATCTTTGTTTTTATATGCTTCTATAACTCTTTTTCGGACGTTGAGCGGAATGATGTTCTTCAGATTCTCCTCTACATAGATCTTGAAACCCATTCCAACATCCTTTGGGTGTACAGAAGGATAGTCTATCTTTTCATTCAATTCAAGCAGCTTGACACAGTTATTCACGTTCTCTTCCGACTCGGAGCTGATGAATATCCCCTTCACTTTCCATCCATTCTTCTCTATATATCCCATTGCAGAAAACACAGATTCATTGATAAATGTATCTGCTCCAAACATGTCCCCGCAGCAGCACATCTCTCCGATAAACCTTAATATTTGAGCCCTTTTCCCAGTAGGTGGCCTTTCCCCTTCAATAGCACTATTGCATGCTTCACTCAAGTTCTCGGCCTCCACTGTGCAAAGAGACTCGTAAAGAATCTTCTTCGATCCCTTATTGCCATTTGTTGTGCCCATCAGAGACTGCGATCTCATCTATTTTAAATCTATTCTGACCAATCAAACTTCTAACACCATAATAAAAGGAGTTCCAAAAAGCTTCAAAAGAAGTCACAGTCCAACATCCTGTACTATAATTATTTTATTCTTGAGTAATAAAATCATCTTATGTGCCTTGAGGCCCAAGACCTAAGGGTAGGCCTGGCAAATAGTGTTTTCGACAGCTACTCTATTCTAAGGCTTTTGTGTATATTCAGAATCCTTTCCACCGCTTCATCTCTATCTTTCCCATGTTCTGTAGAGTCTTCATTAAATCTCCAAGTCCTTCTTTCATCCAATCTCTTATTCTCATAGTCGAAGATTCTATGCCCTAAGAATTCCAGTATCAGATGGGCCTCCTCCATTCCAACACCATTAAAAGCTCTGGAAATCCCAATTTCTTTAATGTTCTCTATCCTGAACCTCATGCTTGGATACACAAAAGCATCTTTTATATTTTCGATCGGCCTTATACATCTTCATAGCACATTCCGAAGAACAATATGCTTGCCAGGGATATACTCGCAGAATACTTCTGCATAGCTTTCCTTGGCCAAGATTGTAACAGAAATCTTCACTTTATCCTCCATAAGGCCTTTGAAGGGAGGTATTTTGGAGCCTATATCAAATGGCAACAGAATTCACTAGCTGGGGATCCCTGGAACAGAAATGGTTGCAGGAAGAGATGTGTGTATTTTTTACTCAAAAACAAATGGATGCAGATATGGACTTGAGTGCACAAAGGCACATCGGATTCCTGCAAGAAGCAAGGTCGTTGTTGTAAAGAACATGTATTTGTATCCTAAGAATGATCCAGATTCTAAGTTGGACAACGAGGCGGTGCAGATACATCTTGATCTTTTCTACGAAGATTGGTTTTCTGAGGTGTCCATGAAGTACGGGGCCGTTAGAATGCTTGCAATTGCTTCCAATAGCTCTCTTCAGCTCTTAGGAAACATTTACATTGAGTTTGAGGACGAAAAGGCATCTCTGAGGTGCATAGAAGATATTGGAAAGAGATACTACAGTGGAAAGAGGATAGTTGTAGAGCTTGGGAACTGTTATAGAATAAGTGATGGAGTATGCACCGATTATGAGAAAGGCTTATGCGGAAAAGGAGAACGGTGTGGATTCATACATGTTGCAAAAGTGACTGAGAGCCTTATGGAAGAGCTGTTTGCCTCGCAAGAGTTACTGTATACGCAAATGGACTCCATGGGAAAATGTAAGACGTCCGATGGAGGAAAGGTTACGGGACAAGGAAAGCGGGCAGAAAGATCTGTGGAAGATGGAAACAATAGTGGAGATTATCGTATGAGTAGAAGAAGGCTAGGAGGTCAGGGGGACTGTATCAAAAGAGTAAGGGAAGCGTCTAATGGAAGCTTTGGGAGATACGGGTGGAGTGATAAGGACTCTAGAAGTAGAATGTATTACTACAGAAGAAATTAAATTTTTATACAATATCTTCCTTTAGTGTAGTAGAGAGCAAATATTTTAATAAAAATATGAAAAAAAAGTTTGCCCTATTGAATGAATATAACAAAAGTTAGAGCAAGTATTCTGTCCTTTTTCTGTCTGTATGCTCTGGCATCAGCATCCGTTGATATGGATAACCTACGGGAGGCTGCAAGCATAGTCAGAAGTGTGGATATTGAAGGGTTCTGTGATCTTTGCAACATGGATCTTGAGCTCATATCCCCTGATGTTATGGAGGCTCTTAAGACAAACAAGTTAATCAAGAAGCTCGACCTGTCAAGCAATAAATTGAAAGAGCTACCCTCTGATATTGGAGCCCTGAACTGGCTTGTGGAACTTGATCTCTCCAACAATGAAATAGGAAAGATCCCCGAAGAGATGAATGATATGAAGAGCTTGGAAGTGCTTAACTTGTCAAACAACAAGCTAACATCATTTCCATGGAAGGTTTTGAGGCTTGGTAGGACCGGGACATTGAAAAGTTTGGATCTCAGAGGGAATCCTCTATACAGGATATATCATACTGCTTTCGGAAGGTTTTTCTTAAGGCTATTCTACGGCGATATTGTCAAAACAGGATACGATGTTGAGGAGACAACCAAGTGTTCTGATTAAACTTCTTTAATTAAGTTGTATTTATTGATAGCTATATTAACTAGCATTATGAGTGGACTTACACCAAAACTTCTAGCTTTGAGTATGTTGGGGGGCTCATATACTTTATCCAAAGCTTCTGAATTACACTAACTAGTATTGCAAGGGTGTTTACAACAGCAATCTTCAGTAAGAAAAGGTAGAAAGGCTTCTGATATCTCAAAAGCCCTTTCCTAAGAATAAAATAGATGACATATATGGCAAGAGACATTCCAGAGGATACAAAGACCATCGATGTCATCCTAGTGGTTGTTAGTATCACCATTAGAAGCTCATTGATGATCAGACTTGTGAAAGTTAAGGTCGAGATGATGAAAAACTCCTGTTTCAGCAGATAGAATGTTATCATCATGATTGTTCCTTGATAGAACGATATCAGGATCCACACAGAAAAGTGCCTATAAGAGAGAAGCTTGTTCTCCGTAAGCTCTTTGTAGAGCTCTGGAAATTTCACAACAACGCTTCTACTTATGTCACTAGAGCAGATAATTGAGAATATAGGAAGAAAGGTGTAAACAGTTATAAACATCATGAGGAGCTCTCCTCTAAATAGACCTACAGGGACAAAGTATATGAGAGAACAGAAAATCGCTTGAATTACCGTCAGCGTAAGCCCTCGATGTATTATCAGATGTGCTATCTTTGCTGTCCTTTGGTAGGAATTCCTCCCGTGCCAGAAGAGAAGATCTGAAACGTGGGAGAACTTGTTGATACTAAAGTCTGCTGCCAGGGATGCCTGATTACCTTCCTTTCCAACTATTCCTATTCCTACGTTTGCTTCCGTTATCATTGAAACGTCGTTCCCTCCATCTCCAATACAGCAAACACATTTCTTTGTTTTGTTTTTCAATTCCCTCGCAATAGCAGCCTTTTGAGTGGGTGTGTATCTGCATCCAACAACGGCCTCTAGCCCAGAAGCTATCTCAATGAATTCGTCCATACAGCTTTCAACCACAAACGATAAGCTTTGCCCATCAATAACCAAGGAGTTATATCCAGATCCACGCAGCAGATCAAGCTTTGCTTTAACCTCCCCGGCGGAGCTTGCATTACTAATAACCAAGTATGTAGTGCCCCTATGGAAAATTCTAGAAGACCTTGCAATCGAAATAGCTGTCTCTATCTTATCCCCAGTAAGCATCCAAACCTTCATTTCTGCATTCCTCAGGTTTTCAAGCGTAATCTTAACATCGTCTTGAAGCTTGTCTTCAACACCTGTTATTCCAAGAACGTTCATATTATTTTCGATAATCCCCATTGCTTTGCTCATGGCTTCAGCCCTGTCAATTAGGCTTATCCACGCCTTATTATACATATCCTCAAAAGACTCAAATTCCTTTTTGCTGAGAATCTTCTTTGCTATAACAAGTGTTCTTAAACCATCTCGGGCCATATTGTCTGCTTCTTCCTCAACCCAGTCGTTCCCTTTTATTATCCCTTTCATAACTGCATCGGCACCTTTCAAGAAAAATATGACTTCTTCGTTATACCTCACTATGATCCCCATCCTTTTTGTCTCACTAGTAAACGGGAAAGTGTAGAGCACCTGATACTCCTGCTCATCATTCAGGGGGTCCCTTATAATTATCCGAGACCTATCCCTTCGGTACAACTTCATTCCGACACATTCTGTCCACTGAACAATTGCAACCTCATCAGGACTTGATGCTTGGTAGCTTATCTCGTTCTCAGAAATGACAGGAGTAACATTATGGCACACACTGAGTGCTTGCACCAAGTCATACACCCTTGCATTGATATCCTTCTTCACTCGGGAAAACACTCTCTTTCCATCACTTCTACTGTTTAAGACCTTTGCAAGATTTTTGCTGATTTCTCTATTCAACTCTTTTGTGTAGCAAATCGTCCCAAGATGTATCTTCTTCATCTCCATCTCATTCTTGGTCAGTGTCCCTGTTTTGTCGGTAAGAAGGTAAGACACCCTTCCAAGCTCTTCTGGCAATCCGTTCGACCGCATCATTGCTCCCTCTATTCTTTCGTCTCCAGATATATATCTTCCATAGCAGTACCTTGCCCAGTCCACAGTGATTCTCAATGAAATAGGAATCACTGAAGAAAATAGGACAAGAAATCTAATAAATACAATGTCTGGTCTGGATGTAGCTCCTCGCATGTATGTAAATATCCCTGCAAGCAGCATACATCCAACCCCTAGAACCTTCATATATCCATTCAACTCGTTCTCAATCTTTCCTATCTTATTCCGAGGCTGAGACGTGTTGAGCATCGCCTTTGCATCCTTTCCGGTGTACACAACACATCCAAGAACCGAACATGTAGCAATAACAGTGTTCATCCAAAGCATATTTTCACAATCAAGCGGTTCTGTTATATTCTCTTTTCCATCTTCATCTCTTAAACTTACATCGGCCTCTTCAGTCTCTCTTCCCACGTTGCTTTCATTGCCCACTTCAAGTCCTTCTCCTGCTAATGCTTCAATAGAATCTTCATCATTTTCATTGGGACCTTCCCAACTCTCATGAAGAGATTCATTTTCTTCACTTCCTTCGACAGGAGAGGAATAGACCCAGGAAACATCTCGAGGCTTCTCACACACTCCAGAACCCTCCTCAGGCTTTCCAAAATCAACCTCTAAAAGCCTTTCCATCTGTCTAATAAATCCTTGCTCTTCTCCATCCTCCTCTTCAACTTCCTCGAGTTCATCCTTAGAAAACTTTCCAATCTTAATCTTTCCTGTAAACGAGTATATGCTCTTGTTTGGTTCTTCGGCAAGTATACTTAGCCTCTGGAGTTCGTCAAATCCTGCAGCCTGCATTCTTGGAATCGTCAGCTTCAGCTTCCAGTCAGTCTCCCCGTCCAATTGATCCGTCCTTACAAACACTTGTCCAGACACATCAGAAGTCTTGAGAAGAACCATATCTGCAGGTACTCTTTCGTTCTTCTCCAGCAGGATTAAATCTCCTACTTCTATCTTTGAACTAGGCACACGGACAAACCCTTGGCTTGTGAGTTTCGCATACAGTTGGCTGTTGGTAATCTTGTCTCTCTCATACCTCTTATAATCCTCTACTCCTTCTTTAAAAAGTGAAAATGCCAGAACCATTGCCCATGGCCCAACAGAGGCCACAAGAGATGATACAAGATACTCCTTTTTCAGCTGTGTCATGCACACAAAAAATAGAAATGTATTGAAGAAGTGACTGAACTGCAGCCTCAACACTGCAAAAATAAATGTATACCACTTGTACTTCTGATTCCTTATAATGTTGCGAGGATATCTTCTTCTCTGCTCTTTCGATATGTGCCGAAATCTCCCCATCAAATCCGTCATAACCCTTATTCTTGGGTTCCTATTATATCGATGTCAATTTTCTTTTATTTGTTCTTAAGGAGATCACATCACTCATTGGTTTGTTTTGATTCATCTCGAACAACATGCCGATATAAATCTTTCAATCACAGGGTATCGGGCACCTAGGTGTAAGAATCAATTGCAAATAACAGAAAAGCCCCTAATCGAAAATGGTTGCGCCACGGATAGACTACCGCTACAAGATAATTGTCTTAGGAGAGAGTGATGTGGGGAAGACGTGTCTTCTCCATAAGTATAAAGAAGATGACTTCAAGCAATCCCTAATGACAACCATCGGAGTGGACACTGTTTCCAAGAGCATAGTTCTGAATGGAAAGAACATCATGCTCAACATATGGGATACTGCAGGGCAGGAAAGGTTCTTCTCGATAACAAAAAGCTATTATAGAAATGCAGACGGAATACTCCTCATCTTTGACATCAGTGACGAGAGAACTTTCTCGTGTGTAGATAGATGGTTTGGACGTATAAGAGAGGAAACAGGAAATGTTCCTTTATTTCTTGTTGGGAACAAGAGGGATAAAGTAGACAGTGCTACATACCATGCAATGGAGGGCAATTTCAAGAGTAAGGCAGAAGAAATGAAGGCACGGTATTACACCACAAGCGCCAAGACGGGGGAGAATGTAAACAATATCTTTGAGGACATGGCTATGGTTCTTCTCAAGAAACAAGTATTAGGCCAGAAATGGGAGTCTGGAAACCTTTATAACAACCCTGTAAATGAGGTGAATAGAAAGACTAATAGCAGATGTTGTTGATGTAATGTGCTGGTGACGGTATACCCTGTACTTTTTAAATACCTATTACACTATTATAAAATCCTTTAGGCACCACCTTTTTTATTTCCTCATTTTCTTATCTCTACCAGCTCACTTTCCATTGCATCAAGCTCTCCTTTCCACTCAGAAACATATGCAACCTTTATTCCTCTTATTGCAGTCTCCATGGACACCTTTCCAACCACCACGTTAAACTTTATATCCCATATGCATACAACTCCTTCCATATCTGCAGAATACAAGTGTCTTCCACAGAAGCTTATATCCAGTCCTACAATCTTACTTTTATGATACCTCATGGTGACTGGTTCCATGTAACTCGTGTTACAACAGAATATGGTTCCATCGCTGCTTCCACAATATATGTTTGTCAAAAGTGGATCGGTGCACACCCTGCATATTCTCTCAGGCATGGAAATCTCTATTAACTTTTTACCTTTGCAATAGAGAGAAACCGTGTTGTCGAAAGATGTTACTAATACATCTCTTACCGAGTAATGTGCATTTGCCTTGTACACACTCTCAACATTCAGAGAATCCAACGAATACAGTGTCAATTTTGCCCTTTCCTGAAGCCCAAGCTTCCCATCTACTTCAGACAGTCTCCCATCGAACTTTCCAGTAACAACATAATCTTCATCTCTATTATAGACGATTATGGAGTCTTTGGAAAGAATAGCCATTTTCCCCTTTATGATGCCAACATCTATCACTTCTCCACTATATCCGAAGGTTTTTATAGGCTTAAATGGGGCAAGCTGATAGACTGTAAACCCCTTGTCATAAACATAGAGATACTTAGGAAACGGTGAACTCTGGATAGCAAATACCGTCTCTATGAGAATCATCTGCCGAGTATGAGGAAGCTTGAAGTCCCTCTTTGCATCTGTCTCTACCAATACAGTGGAGTCAAAGCTGACCATCTCACGGGTGGCAAGCAAAAAAATATATATAACCCAGAGAAAATAGTTAAAAACCGTTATGTTAAAAAAGCAAGACCTGTTTAATTGGAATCACTTCTCTTTCTACCGACCCTTCCAATGTTTGCCTTTTCATAGGCAGGCATTGCAAATAACTTCGACCCATTGATCTTCATGGTGTTGATCCTGTTCAATGCCTTCTCCTGTTCTTCACTGTTATCGTATTCTGCGAAGAGATAATTCTTTCCTTTATCCCCTCCAGATATCTTGCAGTTCCCCAAAAGAGAAGAAAGTTCGTCCTTGTTAGTATCCTCAGAAACTCCAGAAATATACACCTTCTTGCTTGAGACAATGACCCTTTCCTTCATCCTTTGGTCTCTCCTCTTTGCAAAATGCAAATCCCTGGATTCTCCAGCTACCAGAACTTGCCCTTGTCCATATGCTTTTTCAGTATCTTCAATGGTCTCAAACTCAACATACCCTACCTTGAGATCCTCATTCTTGGGCCTTCTTTGCTTACTAAGCTTAATGCCTGTTCTAAAAGTTAGTATCTGTCTCAAAATCCTCATCACAACTCAGTTTCACGAACCAAGGATGTTTTATCTTCACTTACATTTCTTTTCCATACTTCGGAAACGCCTCTAGTATGTCCTTCACAGTTACCCCTTTTGGGAGGTCAGGAATAGCCAGCTGGTTAGTCTTTCTTGTCGATTGCATCCTTTCTTTAGGGGCAAATTTTTCTTGTCTTTTTAAAACAAGGTTTTCAGAAAGGCTCAATTATGTTTAGAATTCCGTCATCTCCCCCACTTATTATTCTGTCTTTGCCCGCATCATATGCAATTCCATTTATGAAGTCTTCGTGTACATTCTCAATCGATGTCACGATGCTAAGATCTGTGTCGATTATTCCAATACTGCTTCTATTCAAAGTATATGCCATATGCCTTCCAACACTGCAAACAGAGTATATAGGGAACATTGACAGCCTTTTGGATATCTCAAGCTCCCATCCATTCCTCAGAATATACGAGTTGACCATCCCCTCCTCGGTCGTACATATCATCCTGCCTTCATGGAAAATGACACACCATACGGTGCTTCCTTCATCAATCGATTGAACTAATTCCCAGGAATCATCGTAATCGAATCTGTCATAAACCTTCACGGTGTTGTCATAACCATATGTAAACAGAAATCCCCCATGGAATATGCATCCCTTAACATCATGAAGATGATCCTCTATAATCTCGTCGATTTCTATCTCCCCATCTATTCTTACAACCCAGACAGACTTTCCACGAGTTGCCATTGCTAGATACTTCCCATCCTCGGAGAACGCAACACACTTGACTTCTGTATCCGGGCCCTCAATCACATCCACAACATTTCCATCGCAGAACAGCACTGCAGTGCAGTCATAGCTTCCACAACACATGTACTTCCCATGGCTTGCTATAGATCTTATAGATTTCTGGGTCTTACACATCACCTCCCCCGTGTCCTGGTTAGTTAGCGTCCTGGATGTACCTCCCGTGTAAACCGCCCCATTTGAATGTACTGCCAAGATCTTCTCATTGAGTCTTTTCGAGGTTACCCTATACCTCATCTTATGGATAAAATTATTTCAAACTAATCGAAAGTGTAAAACGGCTGGCAGAAAATAGAAGAAGGATTGCCTTTTTCAGTTCCGACCTGAAATTCTCCTGTTTCATAGCCCTTTGAAATGATTAGCAGTGAAGTGTCAAACCTTGCAGAAAATCTGAAAGGGCAGGGACATATGTCTGTAGAAAAGTTGGAGCTACTTGTTGGAATCGATCAAAAGTTCAATGGACTGTTAGTTGAGCACCTTGCTGCCTTGCCGCCAGATAAAAGCCATCTAAGCATTTGTGAGCTTCTCCTGTTTGAAGAACCTGAGAAGACTGTTCCTGTTATCCGAAGGATATTTGCATCTTTTCCAAGCGAAGTTTCTAAATTCATTGGAAAACTTCTCGAGTCACCGTTTTACATACAGAGGCAAGTAATTCCATTGTTGATTGTGAACATGGAATACAAGGAGGAAAAAGAGGCCCTGAGGAGATGTTTGAGAGATTCTGTTGTGGGTGTAGCTAGATGTGGGGCTCTGTCCCTGGAAAAGTACAACGTGATTCCATTTGATGATGATGAGCTGATGGAGATTGTGAGGGACCTCCATAGCTCGTACTCGGAATCCATCCAATGCACGAGCTCCTATGTCATTCCTCTTATAAAAAGAAAGACACAGTTTGTATCTGAGATATGTGCATTGAAGTCATGGAGAAGAAGATATGCAATTGCTAAGAGGATACCAAGGCTCAATGTCAGCGATAGAGCCATTATATATTCACACTTGTCCCAAGATCCAGAGGAGGAGATTAGGATATGCCTTGCAAGTAACATGGAGTATGCCGAGGGATGGGATAGGCTTGTTCCACTGTTTCTAAAGGACAGCAGTCCTACCGTTAGAGCATTGATGATACAAATGGTAGGAGATAAAGAGGAGTTCCAAGAGATGCTGAAGGAAGCAGTCTCCGATGCCAGCTGGGAAGTTAGAAAGGCCTTGCTGTGTGTCCATAGAGTTGATACATACAAAAGCATAGTTATTCCACTGATAAATTCTCTTAATTCTACGCCTAACTGGAGAATAAGAAAGGAGATCCTTGAATCAATTGAGTATGCTTCGAAACAGGACGGAAAGCTTCTCAAGATGTTCTTAGGAAAGCACCTCCTTGGTTACCTTAGCGACAAGGTATATGAAGTAAGAGCTGAGGCTTCTAGGGTAGTTGGAGAGTTGGTTATGATGTATCCTTGGACAATTGAGTGGCTTCCAGACATTGAAGCTATTGTTTCGTCGAGGTCATATCTGCATAGGATAACTTCTGTGAATGCGGCGCTTTCTTTCGACAAGGCCCATAGAACAGAGTTTGTAAAGAAGTTGCTGTCTGATCCAATTGAAAACGTGAAGCTATACACGCTGGAAATGGTTGATCGGCATGGAATGGATGAAGGCATAAAGGAGATAGTTTCTGGCCTTTGTGTTAGCTCAGACGAGGAGATTAGGAGGGCAGCAAGAAACTTATTGGAATAGTATAGAGTCTTTGTTTAGTAAAGAATATGTATTTGAACTTTAAATATTTACCGATTCTTGAGCCTGCATTATAATATGGAAGATCCCAGGAGATTTGAAGAAAGGTTTGTTCACAAGTTTTACAACGAGAACACGAGAGAGTTTTCGGCAACGAGAAGAAAGCATTGGAAAATGACGGAGAAGTTTCTAGATAGTTATTATACTTCTGGGTCTATTGTACTCGATGCAGGATGTGGAAATGGAAGGTCGTTTCTGGTCCCAGAGGTAGTTGGATTAGACTACTGCTTTGATCTTCTGAGAGATGCCAAGGCTATAAGAAACCACGGATTGGTAAGAGGGGATGTCCTGAAGCTACCTTTTGCAGACTCTAGTTTTGACCTCGTGCTTAGTGTTGGTGTAATCCATCATCTCAGCACATATGAAAGGAGGCTGAAGGCAATGGAAGAAATGAAGAGGGTACTAAAGGATGGAGGGAAAGGATTGGTGTATGTATGGGGAAATTCTGTGAAGGATAAGAAGAAGTTTTCGAAGATCATTGGAAGACCAGGAGAAGAGTATTTTGCAACGTGGAACCTTAGGGATGACACCAAGAGGTATTATTACCTTTATGATATAGAAGGCCTACTAGAGCTTTGCAGAGACTCTGGATTTAAAGTTTTGAACTATGGGCCTGAAGAGGAAAGCTTGTTTACGGTCTTGGAGAAGTAAAACGGACCTGATCCACATATGCTGGAGGAGAAGGACTGAGAACAAATAAAGAATTTTGAAGCCCTTGAATGGAAAGAGTGGCAGGCATTTCCGACCTTCTGGAAAAATGCAAGGATAAAGCCTTTGTAAATGACAACAAAGAATGGATAAAGGAAAAGATGATGAAACCTCCTTTAAGGGACCAGGTAAGAGCACTGCTAGGGACAAAGAAGAACATCATTGCCATAAGAGCGATTGAGGCTGTGGAGGCCCCTGCAGACGAGCTTGCACCTACCCTTGGGGACAGGAAGAACATCAACCAATATGTGTATTCAACATATTATTACATGTACAAGATGGGGCTTATTGGAAAAGACAGGTTTGAAAGTGCGAAGGAACATTTTCGATGCATGAAGAATTATGAAAAGATGTTTATAGATACAGAGAACTCATATATCATCTCTAGGATTGAGGCCGATCGAAGGAGAGACAAGACAGTGAAGAGGGAGTTTAATAAAGTTATGGATACCAAGGAAGAACTGAGATCCTTGCTTGTAGAGCTCCCAGAGATCACAGTCGAAGAGGCGCACAGGATTAAAGACGGGGTTTGCAGTGTGAAAAGCATATTCGTGATTGATCTTGACCCCATATTTGACATTAGCAGCCTTAGATGCCAGGCCAAGGAAGAAGCATCTAGAAGGATATCTGAGATTAGAGATATTTTGTTTTGTATTGATAGCAGGCATCCTAGGATTTGCACTCTTGGAGCCATAGGAGAAGAGGAGAAGGATGGAGACAACGAATTAATTACACTTAGGAACTTTAAGAGAGACAGGTATCAGCATTTTGAAAGAATCTTTAACGGGCCTGAAAAGTTGAAGTTTACATGCACACCTCTTTTTTATAGTATAGATAGATTATTGAAAAACCGTGTGACACGGTTATACGATTCTGTTGTGAAGCTTTACAGGACAATGCAGACAGTTTACTTTATATCTTCACGACCTCTCCCTCAGATATTGGCTGAGCTCCTTTTTTTTGAGTACTCAAGCCTGGACATAAGAGACGTGGTTTCGACAATGGATGCTCCCTTTGATGTCTACAAGGAAATTCAAAAGAAGGGGAATATGAGGGTTGTTGCTGTTGGAAACAGCACCTTTGTCTCCCAGGAGAGTAAGAATGTTTATAGGATAGGATACGAGAGTTTCCGAAGAATGGTTGATGGGATTCTCCAGATGGAGAACACTATGGAAAGAAGTGGCGAGGGTCTTTGAAATATCCTTGCATAGAATAAAGTCTTTAATTATATATAACTTTTGCAATGCCAGTCCTAGGATGAGAAAGATAATCTATGAATTTGAGCAGTGTGACCCAAAGAAGTGCTCTGGGAAGAGGCTTATAAAGCAGAATAAGGTTCAACCAATTAAAAAGAATAAGAGCTTTGGAGGTGTGGTCCTCTCGCCAGATGCGGACCAGTCCATCTCTCCAGCTGATAGAGATATCATAGAGAGGTTTGGAATAGGACTAATAGACTGCTCATGGGCACAGTTGGATTCTGTAGATTTCAAGAGGCTTCCAAGAAAGCATAACAGGCTTCTTCCGTTCATGGTTGCTGCTAATCCGGTGAACTATGGAAAGCCCTTCAAGCTGAACTGTGCAGAAGCCCTAAGTGCTTCATTATATATATGTGGCTTCAAGGAGGATGCATACGAAATACTCGAAGGATTCAATTATGGTAACGAGTTCTACAAACTAAATGGAGACATTCTCGATGAGTATGCAAAGTGCACATCAAGCATAGAAGTAGTGGAGGCACAAAACAGGTTTCTGAAAAGCCAAGCTAGACGGGAATGATGTTTATTGGGACTTTCTGTCTCAGCCCTGAGGCGAACACTCCCTAAGGGGTAAAAGCAGCTACGCGAAAGGGCGTGCAGAGGCCGAATCGACTTGATTAAAGGACGACTGGATAGGCGTATCGAGAGTTAATTATCCCTTTTCATTTGGATATTGTAAAGGTAGTAAGCTGTTACAAACACAACCCCGGCAAAGAGAACCCAGATAAGCTTTCCTCCACTATGAACGTCTTCCTTGGTGTATACTCCGCCTGTGCTCTTAAGATGATAGCTTTCAATCCCAACTATCCTGAAGGAAGTCGAAGACTTATCTGTCATTGCGGAGACCCCCAGAAGATCGCCTTCTTTCACAACATTTGATCTGAATGAATGAACTAGAGAGAGGTTATCCGGCTCTCCCAAATATACAGATAACTCATAGCTCTTTTGCTCTATCCTGAGAACGAACTTCTCACCTGAGGGAAAGTTTCTGTATTCAACTCGATCAAGGTTTCTAGCAATATTGCTGGTGTTGATAGAGATATCTCCAGCCTTGACCCCAATATAAGACTTTCCAGAGGGCTTTATGATAACCAAAAGACCTTTAAAGTTGCACGATCTTCCAAAGCAATTTCCTTCACTAAACACATCCTCATCAGATATCCATATAGCCATTCCCTCGTCTCCTTCTCCCTTCTCTCCTTCCTCAATCTCAATAATAATATCAATACCAAATCTTTCCGAACCTATCGGGTGGGATGCAAGGATTGCTCCAGAGCTGTTTGGGGACGAATATCCCAGCTGAACAAATGAATCCCTCCCATGAGCCTTTATTACTTGCTCTCCAGAAGTCTTCCAGTTGAGGAACCTTCCAATCTCATCTACATAAGGTGATAGCAAGGATACTTCTTGGACGAACACACGCTCACTACACAAACACCCGAGTATGTGAAGAAGAGCAAACATGGGGTACTTTATCTTATAGAATTTACCAATCAAGAATAAACAAACCCTGAGCTTTCTCCCCATCAGAATGATACTTGGTAATAACACCCAAAAGATATTATGCCTAGCCGTTGCATCCAAAGTTTTCTATGTAGGCATTTCATACTTTGCATATCTTCTCCTTCCTCGATTTGATAAGTCTACAGAGCTTATCTCAACCAATTCATGCCTGAAATTCCTTCTTTCATGGGATGCCATCCATTTTCTTGAGATTATGGAAAAGGGATATGGGAAGGCCCATGTCGTTGCATTCTTCCCTCTTCTTCCATACATGTCCCGTGTCGTTGCAAGGTTACTTTCCTTAGAGCCGTATACAACAGGTGTCCTCGTGTCGTGTACTGCCTCTGTCCTAAGCTCTGTCCTGCTCTATAGAATCTCTCAAAGAAGATATGGAAACAAAATAGCAATAATGAGCTGCATCCTATTCATATTTAATCCTGCAGCAATAGTGTACACTGCCATGTATTCAGAGTCCTTATTTATGTTACTTTTTCTTCTTGGAATATACTTTCTTGAGAACAACAGTATTGTCCATGGCACATTGTTTTTGTCTTTGTGCGGTCTATGCAGATCTAACGCGATTCTATTTGCTCCATTCATCATTTATCCACTCGGCAAAAACGCCCTCCTAAGAATGATTGTACTTCTACTTCCACTTGGCATATTTCAATATTACTCTCTACTCATGATCAATAAGGCTACCAACACATACAGAATCTTCATACCATACTTTTACATACAGAAGACTCTCTGGGATCAAGGTTTTCTCAGGTTTTTTACACTTAAAAACATTCCAAATGTCCTTGTTGGGCTTCCATTTATCCTGATTTCCTTATACATCCTACGGGAATATTGGAACAAGAGATCTACTGTTAATCCGAAAATGTACATGGACACTCAAAGATTCAATACGGACATGTGTGCTATAGTGCTTCTGGTCCAAACTCTTATCACAATATTCCTGATCCACTGGAATATGTATTTCAGGTTTATTTCATTCAATCCTTTGATATACTGGATGCTAGCAGAGAAGTACTATACAATTGAAAAGGGATTCGGGAAAAGATTGCTGTTCAGATTTTATTTTGGATTTGGAGTAGCATACGCAGTGCTTTTCGGATGTTTCTATCCACCATGTTGATGGTTATATTAAATCATTAGTATAAGGTTTTTAATGAGAAATAAAACAATTGGTCTAACAGATCAGCCAATCAATTTCTTTTTCTTTCGCCTTTCTTCCTGAGAAGTATCTGAGAAACAACCCCCATGGTTATAAGAGATATGTACCCTACAGAAATCTTGTTTTCAACCAGACCTTGATAAAAATTTCCCCTTCGAAGTGTTGCAATATACTGATCAAACTCAAGATTCAAACCGAATCCAAAGTTAGCGCCGACTATGATGAAGAGAGACCCAAAGACAGAGAAAACAAGAATATAGATCAGGAAGGTAATCGGTTTGACAAGAACCAGAACAAGAATCCCAATGCATAGCATTATCGTCTGGTATATGTAATATGAGCTTCCCTCCATTGTTTCTCCAGTGGACGACTCCAATATTCCCCAGAGATGGAATGCGAGATACCCCATCAATATGTATATTATCGTCTTGACAAAGAAAAACATTACTATCCCAAGAGCAACAGACAGAAAGGCCATGAAGAATCTATTGGCATCCACTTTCTTCAGGAACAGAACTACATGACCTATTGCCTTAGGTGCATTCTCTGCAGTTCCATATTTGTCTGCAATTATCTTGTCAACAACCTCCATTATGCTTCCAATGCCTAGCCGAAGCACCGGGAATGCAATTACCGATAAAGAACATCTCTTTGCACAGATTCCCAAAAAGTTCACCAGAAGCCCTGAAACAAACAAGGCTATAGCTATTTCTCTTCTTTCAGAGAGGAAATCTCCGTAATAGCCCATTGAATCCCAGATGTCGGGTGGGACTCCTTCAGTAGCTGCTGCATATCCAAGAAACAACATGGCAATCATAGGGGGTTTCTAACCATTTCTATTTACAATTTATATAAACCAAGGGAATGAATAACAGGTATTAAGAATTTGATAGGCATATAAAAACATTTTTTTAGATGATGTGATATTATGATATACGATTGGTATGGCCATATTCAGGGGAAGGAGAAGCATAATAACTTGAGGAGTTTTGGACCCTTTCACCACATGTATAGTGAAAACCGGAGCTGTGTTTGTAACAGCTTACTACCTTTACAACATCCAAATGAAAAGGGATAATTAACTCTCGATACGCCTATCCAGTCGTCCTTTAATCAAGTCGATTCGGCCTCTGCACGCCCTTTCGCGTAGCTGCTTTTACCCCCTAGGGAGTGTTCGCCTCAGGGCTGAGACAGAAAGTCCCAATAAACATCATGTTCCCATAAATCCTTTCCTTCCTCTACATTAACGCTAAAGGATGTTTATTGCTCCTGAGCTCTTTGAGAGCTTCTCTGTACACCTTTCTAACTGTACCTTTTAGAATTCCACCTGTAAATGGATAATGAGAGTGATTAAATGAATAACTATTACCCATCGGCCGCCTAAACGATGGCCTAGCACTTGAGAAGTAATAGGGATATATGTGCCTTAAATCTTAATTTATAGAACATGATAGAGTACTTAGAAGTTAGTTCTTCATCTCTTTGTTTCATCCTTTAAGGAAATAAGGGAGGTGTTGCGGTTGTTATCTTTTCATCACACTTAAGATGAAAATGTAAGGAAGCAGTGGTGTGGTACCAAATAGAGATCGTCCCTGGTGAATTCATCAAATCACTGAACCCCTTGATGATTGAAAGTTTTGCAATAAAGAAGTTTATAATTAATTATTTCATTGAGCATAGCCAGGAAGATATTGATAAGATGGTATTGAACATACATAGGCATCTTTTGAGGGGATTCTTGATGAATGAGGTGGTATACAACATGAAGTCTGGAGAGTATGGCCGTATTTCAAGGGTGGGTGGTGCCAGATATGGTGTGGTAATTCAGTCGAAAGATGGGGGGCATGAAAAGGATTGCCACTTTTCGGATCTGGCAAGAAGAGATGAAGTGAGTGCAAGTGGAGTTAAAGGATATTTGCTTGGGATAACGATGGAGACGCCCTTTGGAAGGGTCTTAAAGGAGAATGCATTCGGAAGCATAAAGGACTCTTCAGGGGTGATGAAATGCAAGGTGCCCCAAAACCAATGCTATGAGGGAACACGACCACTCAGGGATTCTCAGAAGTCCTTAGATAGAGAGAAGACCCAAGGAATGTGGCCTAGTGCAGAAAATGCAGGAGATAGAGGCGCAATGGAGAGACAAGATGATAAGGCTAATGCAGTGGAAGTTGAGAAGAACGGACTAACTGAGGATATTGATATAGACTCGATCCTGAAGCTGAGAGATGATCAGATATTGAGGATTCCAGGGCTTGAAAGGCCGGATATTGAATCGACGATGAAGATCCTTGGTGTGCTGGTAGGCTTTAGATCCTTCTTTGATATAGAAAGGATAGATGTGAAGGAGCTGGCGGGGGTTATTATTGATCCTTTATATGAATCGGATATTGTCTGCAAAACTCATGAAAGGTTAATTGAGATGCTAAAAGCAGAGATCGATAACATAGGAATGGATGTTTTTATAGAGAATTCCAAGCCTTGCATAGCATTAGTCTTTGAATGTGTATGTTCCTCAAAAGATAAGAAACAGGATGATCTTGAAAGTATTGAAGAGCCTCGCCAAGTTCTTGAAAAAAAACAGTGGAAGGCCGATTTGGAGAAGTTTATTAAGGAGACTTCTTCTCAAGCTGGGATAGATATTTCCCACATTGTGCCCTGTATCTTCGCAAAGGATCGTCCATTAAGCAAAGAGGAGATAAGAAGTAGGCTTGTGCTACTTGAACTATTATTGAACATGTTCTTTACGACTGAGCCTTTTAGAGAGGTTGTATCTGAGAAGATGGAAACGTCAAAAGAACTTGAGAGGAGAAAAAGAGAACTACAGGCTAGACTTAGAAAGCCGATCCTGGCTTTGGACAGTGAGGCTTCTCTAGATACTGATAAAAGATCCGAAGTAAAGAAAGAGCTTATAGATACAATGGAGAAGATATTTCAATTACCCACAAATATCAGAATTGGAGAAATCGACGGAATCAGGTTTCTGAATCTCAACAGGAAGATCTATGCAGCTAAAGAAAGAGATTACTACCTAATGAGTAGGGATGCGCTGCTTAGACTATGCAAGAAGTACAATGACAGAAGTAAGAGTAAGAGGAATGTACTGGTAAGCATAGAACAGTATATGGAGATTCTGCAGAACCCGCTCTGATTCCGATGTTTGTTTATGTGTTGTATTTGGATATAACTAGTTTTATATTCAGGAATAAACAACTAGCACAGATGAATAGACAGAGATTTATAAACTTGCTAAAGGATAATAAAAATGCTACACCACCTGACCATAGTGTGAATCTGGGGAGACACGTGATAATGGTCAGGAATCTTAAAAGAAAGTACCTCATAAACAAGATTACACTATTAGATATTTACAACTACTATGGAACACCACTATCTATATACACGTCACAAAAGATCCGGAATGTATTTGTAACTGCATCTCTGTGTCTAACAGTTTACTTTGCATCAAACATGGATGCAATCAGAAATAACAGGATTCCAAGGCTTGGGGTGAATTTCTCTTCAGCTACGTTGGTTGTGGGGGGAGTGTTCGTTGTGAAGGAAGCTATTTCTTATGTTCTCAACCTCAAGAAGATGGCGTCTGTATTTTATATATACAGATACATTCTGCAAGAAGGTATAGATAATATAAGGTTTAAGGATGTGGTTGAGGGGGTGATCAAGCTGGAGAAGGAAGTCCACAACAGAGATCTCACGGGGAAGGATTTCCGAGACATTGTGAACCGCAACAACCTCCTTTTGCTTTTGATGATGAAGAAATTCCCTTCAATATTCCGCCCTACATGTTCTAGATTTCTTCTTTATATCCTTCATTCCTACATTGGAAAGATAGAGAATGGGCCTATTGAAGAGATTAATGACGAAATGAGAGTGATTTCCGCAGCTATATTTCTGCTGTCGCCTATTATTTCAATCTTCTTCATCCTGTACTATATTGTAAGAATCATAGAAAAGTCTCAAAACAACGTGTTTTATGTTTTTAAAAAGGCACACAGGCCATCATTCAAGTATTTCATGGCCAAGAGGAATGAGTATCCTCATGAGACACGGAGAAAGATACAAAAAGGTGCGGATTACCTGAATGCTTTTTTCCTTGCGAAAAAAAGAGACTGCATTGCCCGAATCTGTTCTGCGGTCTCATTCTTTTTGAGTTGTCTTGTGTTTCTGGCAGTGTATCTGATTCTGAAGACGGTGCTTGTGTCTAACCCGAATCTGAATGGAATCTTATACCAAGACATAGTCCTCTTTGGAAAAACAACGAATATACTGTATCTTTCTTACTTCATAGGCGGGATGTCCTGTTGTCTAAGATGTCTAAGCCTGGACTATGCATCCACGAGCCGCCGTAGGATGTTTATCAAATGGTGCGTGCTCATGGAACAGAGAGAACTACTCAAGTATTCCGAGAATCGAAGACGTTTAGCAACTCTTATGGCAAAGTTCTTCGTCCCTCGCATATATTTATTTCTGATGGAGATTTCCTCTCCATTCATTGTTCCATTCCAGCTTGAGAAATTGAGAAGGAGGTTGGAAAGGATCCACACAACGTTCAACTCAACAGATATATGGGAGGAATATGTTGGTGAAATCCAAAGTAACAGAATCTCTATCTTAGACTTATAAGATTAAAAGAATATAAGCCATATTTGCTAAACCATTTTCTTTATTACGTCTCCTAGCTCAAGAGTTTTGACCTTGTCATTTATTGCTGATTGCTTGATAACGTATCTATTTCCGAATTTCCTTATAAACTCTTCAAGATCCTTCTGGAAAGGTAATTCCTTAATAAGCTCCTGAGAAAGCTCTTCTGGAAATACTTCACGGTCCACCAATGGAAGTGAGGCCCAGGAGGGTGAGAATAACGACGAGATATTCAATTTAAAAGAAGGGAATGAAAGAGATGGCTTCTTAGTTAGCCTTGACATCTCTCTTCTTTCAGAATCCAACTCTATCCATTCATAGCTACCCTCTTCTTCTTCAGATTCCTCCTCCGTAGTCCCAATGGTTTCTGCATCCTCTGCATCCTCCCAATCAGAATCGTGCTCGTAATCTAGAACTTGCGGAAGCTTTAAAAGACTATTTCTTACGTGAAGCTTCTCTTCCCTAAATCCATAAAAAGGAGGTTTCAGTTGATCCGAAAACTTGATAAAAGACAATCTCTTTGGGTTCTGCAAATCCTTTCTTATCCGCACTGTGGAATTGATAGGACTTGCAAGCGTGCTAATTATAACCTCATCCCCAAAGGATATTGGAGAAAATTGGCCAAGTGTGTTTCTAGAAGACTTCTTTTTACCTTCTATCTGAACAAACTTCAATATGCCCGGTGTAGTGACCTCTTTTTTTCTTATGTTAGTAGAAGAGTCTAAAGCCCCATCAGGTCTAGATCTTTTGAAATCTTTCCTTATCCCTTTCAGTAGCTTTCTAACACACCCAGAGACTAATGCAAGGTCTTTCAGAAGATACACACCTCTAGTGGCCTTGTCCTTTTCATTAATCATCTCAATCTTGAACTTGGACTCAACAAATTCCTTGAGAGTTTTTATTCTGTCTTTTCTTCTTTTTGATGTTTTCTTGTATGAATATAGAACTCTGTCCATCCAATCATAGTCTACGTCCAGCTTGCAGTCCACCATTAGAGCTAGTAGATCCACCGGTATTTCTTCTTCCTGGCTTTTCTTCCATTCATGTAGGATCCTTAAAACAGTTGGATGGAATAAAACCTCCATACCCTCGTCCAGAAAATAAATGATATAAAAATACACATGGTATAGCTATTGGGCTACCTTAGACCCTTTTGTGTATCTTGAGCTTCATTCAGCCAGACATTAATCTCCATATCTTCAATACTTACGCAATAGATCCACACTTCCAGTATATAATCATTCCACTTCTCTTACAGTCAGATACCCGTATAATATTTCTATCAGAAAGCACAGTGAACTGTTGCAATCCCCTCCACATCTTGTGATTAACCATCTATAGAAATACCTAGGACGTCTAATATCAGGAATCAAGATAAACCTCAAAGTATAGATCCTTGTAGAGAGCCTTCAGATCTTCTTGTGGAATGTAATGGATGTTTGTGTAGTCAATAAGAGACAAGCCTCCCTTCTTACATATTTCAGATACAAGTCTTTTTTCAGCTTTTGAATCGATTTTAGCCAGCTCTGTAAACATTTCTCTACTAACAAGAATATTCAGAAGAAATGGTCTTTCTCTGACCACTCTTCCCAAAAAGAGAGCCATCTGCTTGTAGTTTCTATCTATGTATTCCTTGACAAGAGAAATGACCTCCTCGTCATTGAAGTTAAGTATCCAGTCCAATGGCAAAGTATTGAATAGCTTCACTTTTTCTTCCGGAAACAGCGGGTTCATGAGCACCATACAGAAAAATTTCCTGAAGACATCTGCCTTACAGCTAAACAGTATGTAGAAGTCTAGAAACTCTTTGAATCTTGATATTTTTTTGCTCATTTCTTTGATCACAGATGAGGAGTCTAACTGGCAGAAATCGGAATAAAAGAAGTCTTTTAGGAACTTGAGCCTGTTAAACTCAAATGGAAATAAAGTGAAGCCTATTCCACAGTTTGACTTTGAGAGTGCCCACTTTATGTCAATTTCTGCATTACCTTTCTGTTTTTTAAACACCCTGGACTGATTCTCCCTTATTCGGCTTTCAATCCTAAGGACATCTACTTCCTTTTTTAGCTTCTCTGTCTTCCGAAGACCATCCAAGGCTTCTCGGCTCTTCTGCTCTTTCATTGCAAAGTTCTGCTTTTCCAATGCAATCATGTTCTGCCGTAATATCACTATCTCTCCGGTGAGTCTCATATTTTCTTGCTTGAGTCTCTGGAGCTCTTTATTCTCTGGTTCGTGGATTGCATCCTCTTTCGCTTCACTGGATCCATCAAACCCCCTCATCCTCGGTTCCTATTGCAAAGAATTATTTGCTACAACTCGCCTATACTTTTTCTTGCCTTTGGAGAGACCTTACATATCGGTAAGACAAACCCAACCCCATCAAATTCTATTCTATAAGAAAACTTTATGGTAAACAAGGTGCAGTCAAAGGTAAACCAATCGTGTTTTATGATGAGTGGGACCATCTTATAGAGGCACATATTGGAATTGAACTCTTTCATCACCTTCTCCTCATCATTCGAAATCTCCCCATCAATGTATTCGGTTATCCTCAATGTTATTCTTGTTGACTTAATGTTTCTTTTGTACCATATTTCCACCGTGTCGTTCTCAATAAGATACTTCCTATACTCAATCTTGGCAATTTCTTCATCACCATTCCAAGCAGTAACCCTGTGTCTATCTTCCTCGATTTTGGGATCTTCCATCGACACATAGAAGTATATATCCCCCTTGATTTCTTCTCTGTATCTTTCAACAACCTTATTCATGAATCTAGGGAACTCCTCAAGGATTCGCATCCTTTGCTCCACCATCTCTGCAATGGTCCCACTGCTCCACTCAGATTTATTTCTTAAGGAGTTAACAATCTCTCCAAATGCAGTACTATCCCCATCACCAATTCTGATCATATCTCCATGGACTATCATGCTTTCCATTTTCCTAGGAGGCTCAAGCCCGATGGGGTAGACATCAAATATCTCAGACCTTATATCCTTTTTTGTCCCATAGTATCCCTCCACAATTATCATATATACAACCTCCAGGCTTTTCAGCCTCATTGAAGGAAGGGCGTTTCTTGGTATAGTGCATCTATATATAGTCTCGATGCCTTCCCCCATCTGGATCTCTACAGGTGTAGACTCCAAGAACTTAACTTCCTTCCCATCAATCCTCACAATCCCAGTAATCCGTGCTGCTAGGAGCCCAGGTTTTTGAGATGTATACCCACATCTCTTCCATTTTATACATGACTTGAACACACCTCCCGTATAAACATCAGAAGAGTATATTTCAAAGTCCATGCCCTAGAAACAAAGGGATTCCAGGGTCAGGGTTTACTTTAGTTCAGAAGTCTTTTCAAATAGACATGGGAGATAGATCTAAATCTTTAATTAAGCAAGTTAAGGATCATCTCCTTCCACCAAACTTGTTTCTCTCAAAAGGATCATCATCAGCCGCATTGAAAATTCCACCACTTCCAAAAAGCCCTGCAACACCACTTTCATTTCTCTCATTTGAATCAGCATATCCTATGCTTGGTTTGGCTGGTTGTTGCGAAGGCTCAGTACCCTCGAAAAGTCCCCCAAACAAGCTTTTCCCATTTCCAAACATATTGCTTATCGGCCTTGCGGTATCGGTTTGTTGGGATACATCTAGATGCCCTTGGCCTACACTACCAATAGATGAGAAACTCTGGATGTTAGAACTTGTGCCGTTATTATTTTGAAGAAAAACATTTCCTTCTTGTCCAAAGGGAAAGGCGGTCTCGGGTTTCTGGCTAACCTCCCCACTTCCATTCAACTTCCTCTTAAATAATGAAGATCCAGGACTTGGAGAGTGAAGCTCTGTAGATCCTTGAGTGTTACCAAGACAGGGCTGAAGAGTTGAGCCCCCACCAAACACAAATGGTTTGGTTTCAGGTGCCTTGACATCTGAGGCGAATGGACTGGTAATGCTCTCATGATTTACAGTGGAGGGAGAGCCTTGAGTGGGTAGGTTTGAAATACTAGAATTGAACTGAAATGCTGGTGCATTTCCTTCCAAACTAGGTGTCCTTCCATCCCAAAATCCAAATTTTTTCGGTTCTTCGTTCTTCTTATCTTCGGAGAGGCTTTCTTTTTCTTCATCTCTAACAGTCTCACTAAGGGTCCCCCCAAACACAAATGGTTTCCTTGGTGGTACAGTACTTTCATCCTTTTTGGTATCTAGATCAATTTCACCTTGCCCTGTATCAGAACCGTTTTCTTTATCCTCAGACACAGGGTCCAATATAGGATGAGATGGAGCTACAGACGAATTAGATACACCGTTGGCTTTTGGAGCTACATCTATGCCATTCCCTTTTGTATTTGGACTCCAACTAACTTCAGGTATCGCATTCTTACCATCATTCTTCTCGCTAGCTTCGGCAATTCGTGCCTTAGATACTTCATCCTCATTCTTGTCAAAGCTGGTGCTTTTGTTTCCGAGTGTTTCTATATCAAACAATCGCTCCTTCTTTGCCTGACTAAGAACATTTGTAAGCTTCTTCCTCTCCCCTTCCTCAAGGTCATCAATGTCAAACTTGTCATCCGTGACATACCTTGCCATCATTCTATCAACCCCAAGATCCTTCTCAAGATAGAAGTAAGACCTTGGAACCCTGGACTCCCATCTTTCCCTGGCCATCTTCCTTCGTTTCTCAGTCCTTTCCCTTTCTTCTCTTCTTCTCTCTTTCTCTTTGGCTTCATATTCTTTTCTTATTTCATATTCCACACATCTTTTGCAATTGTAGTCTCCTCCAAAATTGCATTGGACTTTCCCATCCACCTTTTCAGAATTCAGCTTCTTTACATTTTTTTCACAGAAATACTCCTCCTCTTCATCAGTAGATACTTCTCCCAGATGAAGAAAGAGATTGTCTTCTTCATCATAACAAATGGCTTTTTCAATCGTTTCCATAGGCGTCTTGCCTTCCACTCTATATTTCTTTGGAAGAATTCCCCAACTAACATCATTCTCCTTCTTTAGGGCATATTTCTTTTGGTATCCCCTTTTCCTGTGCTTCTTTGTCTTTCTTTCACCTTTTGCATCTCCTACACATTCATTCCTCTTCCGCTTTGCTCCAATGCCTCTTTCAGCCTTCTCAGCTCCCATCTTCTTCAGCATTTCAAATCCATCGTCTATTCTCTTCTCACACCGTGGCTCTACTATTGCCTTGCATAGCTCCTTGATATCATCAAGTTCGGATATTGATATAGGCTTTGAGCTTTCAAACCTCGAGCATAACTTTTCATAAGGCTCTAACTCCACCTTCCTTCCCGGCCTCAGTGTATCCTTAATCTTGTTCCATGCCTCTTTCATTCTCTCATAGAATCCTGCCATCTTGCTGGGTCAACAATAATTTTTTCTCATAAAATCCAGTTCCAAGCCAATTTTAATTTCAATATCTTGTTATCCACTTTCTCTATCCTCTTTTATGTATCTCTTCAGTCTGTACAACACTCTTAGAATCTTAGGATCTTCTCCCATCCTTATTCTACTATCCCACTTCTTGGCTGAACTTCTAAGGCCTACTAAATCCTTCATAGACAAGGGTCTCCTTCCACACACAGGGCAAGTGTCATGGCCACTCAAGTGTCTTTTGATGCACAAGTAGCAGAAGCTATGCCCACACGGTGTCCCGTGTCTTATGGATATCTCACAATCACATACCCTGCACAGATTCATTAAGGGCCCCTTCTTGAAGATATTTGAGCTTTACCCATCACTTACTTTCTATCTCTTCTCCATCTTCACATACTTTAGAATCTTCCTCATCGCTCGCTTAAGAATCCCAGATACCCATAAAACCGACATGGAGCATTTGAAGCCAGAGATCTCTCCTATGGTAGCAATCGTGAACAAGACATGTTTGCATGCCGGAGCATCACATTTGATCACTGCTATCTGGCTGTGTGGTAGATACTCAACAACTCCCAGGTTCCCCACCATCGACAAAACATGTCTTCCATAATCAATCTCTACTTTCGACTTGATTATTGAGCCTAATACATCCATACTAGGCACGCTTCTATTTCCCTCAGGCCGAAGCTTCACAACTACATATCTTGACTTCACACGAACCATACCGGGGTTGCAAAATCAATTCTTCAAACATCAGTTACCTTCGTGCTTTCTTTACATATAACCAGGAACCTTCCCTTCAGCTTCAGACCTTGCAGAACCCTATCCACATCAATAGGCCCCTTGCCATCCACAGGAACGATTCCTCGGTAAATACTAAATCTCCTGAGGATCCATTTATCACCGGAAACCACAACAATGGGAATCATAGGGGAGCTCAGATACATCTTTTCTATTTCTAAGGCCTCTCTAAAGCACATCACAACTCCGTTCACGTAAGGATATCTTTCATGAGGTCTACTTCCCAAAACATATTCCTCTGCATCAATGCATATACTTTTCATGAATTTAACAGTTTCAATAGGAAACATCCCTATAGCTGATTCCCCGCTTAGCATCACACAATCGCATCCATCAGCAACGGCATTTCCAACATCAGAGGTTTCAGATCTGTTCGGAGTGTTTTTTAAGATCATACTTTCCATCATTTGTGTCGCACAGATGACAGGCTTGCCTTCTTTCTTTGTCTCCAAAAGAATCTTTTTTTGAGCACTAAACACTTTATCCACCCCAATCTCAACTCCAAGGTCCCCCCTTGCTATCATCACTCCATCAGAGGAAGAAGCTATTTCTCGGATATTCTTCATTCCTAGACATGACTCTATTTTGGATACAATGGGAACCTGACTCCCAACAATCTTCCTTATTTTCCCAACATCCTTGCGAGAACTCACAAAAGATGCAAAGATTATGTCTATCCCATTCTCCAGTCCAAAGATGATGTCATCCTTGTCTTCATCACTTAGAAATTCAATTCCTACATCTATGTTCGGGAAGTTCATGGACTTATCATTTTTAATTGTCCCATTGCTCATCACCTCACATCTAAACCCGTCTTCTTCCACACTAGCGACTCTCAGATCTATTCTCCCATCATCAATGAATATCTTATCATCTTTACTCAGAGACTTAAAGTCAATCCGAGGTATTGAGATCCCCCTTCCCGATGATGAGAAGTGAAGAATATCCCCAGACTTCACTTTGATGTCCTTATCTTCAGGAGTTCTAATCCTCACCTCGGGCCCCTTTGTGTCTAATGCTATTGCAACATATCTATCCACGTTACATCTAGAGTCCATAATGTTCCTAATAGTCTCAAGGTGTGCTTCCCTTGTGCCATGGCTGAAGTTAAGCCTTGCAATAGACATCCCCGCATTTATTAGATCTCTAATCTTCTGCTTTGAAGATGTGCTTGGCCCAATGGTACACACTATCTTTGTCAGTGCCATCTTCATGAGTGGATATATAGGATAAATACTTTCCAAATTTATCAAGTTTATTTTGAGACAAATGATAGGTCCTCCACAGATAGGGACCATGCTCTTCCAAGAACCATGGATATAATCCACCGGGCCATCCCTAGGGTGGATGAAGACGGTCGCCGTTGTGATGAGATCTTTAGATGACGAAATCCCATCTCTTAGAGTTCCAGCTGCAAGTGCATTGCTAGGGTCTGCAAAGCATATCGTGATAATATTCATAGAAAAAAACAAGATGTTTCTCTTTAACGAGCCGCATGTGATGCTTGAGTCGGAAAAGATTTTGAGTGTTGAGCAAAAACTCCACAGAAAAGCTATTGTCACACACCTCGAAAACACAGCCAAGGCCGTGAAGAAGATAAACTTCAAGGCAGAGGTATCAAAGCTAGTGATCAGTGGGGATGAAAAGTACAAAATAAAAAAGTGCTTGCAATGCCTGGAGGTTCAAGCAGCCATGTTTGTTGGTAGACACAAAAGAAAGAAGTTTTATGAATACTTTGTTCAATCATTAGAGGATTACGTATTTGAAATCATGAAGATTCCAACTATTAGGGTATAAATGCCAGAGCGCCATTTCTAAATTCTTTAGGCATCAAGACCATTCCAAAAATAAATTATAATCCAATAGACCTCAGAATTCCTTTGCATAGCAAGCCTGTGGCAATTTTACATCCATATAAGTAACCAACTGCTGTTTCGTTCCTTACCTGGCATATCTCCGAAACTACAATCGAATTCGATGCCACACAAAGAAACTCTATGACTAGGAGGTACTCCTCCCACTGGTACTTCCATACTATCATGATGAATATAAACAGGTAGTAGAAGCTTGAGAGTAGAAGTGCACTGGATAGCTTTATGAATCCAATGCACCTGTGAAACACGGCATATACTAAGACTAAGAACAAAAGTGTCTCCATAAGGCTCTCTATCACATCTCTGCAGATGATGGGTATTGCTGCAATGGAAACATTGTCTAGGCCTTCCCCAGAAAAAAAAAGCCTAAGAGTTTTATGATGCTGAAGTATTGGTGCAGTGAGGATCTTAACAGTCAACATAAGTAAAACGCTTCTTGTGAAGTCCTTTTTGTTGTTAAAGAGATAATGTCTGAAGATTCGCCTTTTGAGCAAGAGAAGGTCTATGAGCTTCATCATGCCATTCAGTTCAAAGTACCTATCCATCTTTTTGCAGCACACAAGACATTTAGAAATCTGTTTAGCTGAGGAATTCTTGAGGAACAGCTGCTTTGCCCTGCTTCCACATTCTATACACACATGCATTTTCTATTCTGTTAGGGCTCCCATAGAATGTTTTCATTGCAAGAAGAAGTTTTGGCTGGTGCCCCCTGGAAAGAATGGCCATTGCATACGTGTTCGATGAGGAGGTGGGGCTATTTCACTATGGGCCTCGGCATCCCATGAAGCCATTTAGAACAGTGGTTACACACTCTTTGGTGAAATCCTTTGGGCTTGACAGGAAAATGACGATAGTTAAACCAGCAACAGCTTCCTTAACGTATCATACAAAAGAGTATCTAGAGAATCTTGGGAAGATTGAAACACCAGACTGCCCCGACATCATTGGGCTTTCTAGATTCTGCGAGCTGTATGGAAGTGCATCCATAAACTCTGCGATGATTCTCTCAGAAGGGAAGTATAATACTGTGATCAACTGGAGTGGCGGACTTCACCATGCACATAAAAACGTTCCCAGCGGATTCTGCCATGTAAATGACATTGTTATGGCAATTCTAGAGCTTCTCAAAACATATCGGAGGGTGATGTATATAGATATAGATGTTCACCACGGGGATGGTGTTGAGGAGGCGTTTCTGGAAAGTGACAGGGTTCTGACTCTCTCTTTACACAAATATGGAGACGGCTTTTTTCCTGAGACTGGGACTCTCATCACAACAGGGCACAAAGCCGTGAATGTTCCACTTCTATCTGGAATTGACGACCCAAGCTACAAATACATTTTTGAGCCGATCGTGGAGTCTTGCGTCAAGAAGTTTTCGCCCGATGCAATTGTTTTACAGTGTGGCGCAGACTCTTTGGGAGAAGATAGGCTAGGATGCTTTAATCTCTCAATAGAGGGCCATGCATCGTGTGTTCGGTTTGTTAATTCTCTTGGGATTCCTTTGCTTTGTCTTGGAGGTGGAGGATATACCCTGACAAATGTTGCAAGATGCTGGGCATATGAAACCGCTGTGTTGTGTGGAGAAGACCCTATCATCGACATTCCCAGAGAGAACCCGTTCTATACATACTTCAGCCCTACATATACTATTAATCCTGTGTTCAAAAGAAAGTATGCCAACAAGAATGATAGAGAGTACTTAGACATGATTATGAGCTTTATACTTGATAAAGTAGATAAGTTTTAAGGAGGCCTTAAGCACAACCTCCTTGCTCAGGCCGATTTTGGAGAATAAATTTTTTGGCCCATTGATGGCAAGTGAGAAGCTCGAGAAGATCAGATCCCAGGTTGAGTTTTACTTCAGTGATGCAAACTTCCGAGTCGACAAGTTTCTTAGGGAACAGTCTTTGGTGAACGATGGATATATTCCCATAAAGACGATTGTCTCGTTTAACAGGCTTAGGAGCCTTGAAGCAACGGTTGAGGATGTCAAGGAAGCACTTAAGGATAGTAAGGTAGTTGAGGTTAAGGATGAGATGGTAAAGAAGATTGAGACTGAGGAGTATCTATCATATGTCATGGAAAAGGACATAAGCAAAAGGGTGATCTACATCGATGGGTTTCCCAAGGATATGATGCTTGAAGATGTAAAGGATACACTATCTCCATTTATCACACCGGTCCTGATTAGGATGAGAAGGGACAAGGGGAAGAACTTTAGCGGAAGTATATTCGCAGAGATGAAGTCTGAGGAGGAAGCCCAAAAGGCTCTGTCTGAGAAGATTCCTGCAAAGAAACAAAGTGATGACGAGGAGAAGGCTAAGAAGCAGAAGAGTGAAGAGAAGTATCTTGTGATAATGACGAAGGAAGAATATCTCAAGGAGAAGGAGAAGATGTCTGCAGAAAAGAAAGAAAAGGAGGCGAGGGAAGCTCTTGAGAAAGAGTTTGTACCAAAGTTATTTAGATACGAGTCTGACAGCGATCTTGACATCAAGGCAGTAAAGAGTTTGGTTAAGAACAGTGCCTTTGTGGATACTAAGGAGAAAGTGGTAAGGATGAAGCATGCAGAAGATTTCAAAGAAAAAAAGTTCGAGAATGAAGGAAGAAGTTTGACGCTTATTAAGATGGAGGAGGGTGAAGCTCTTGAGTATTGTAAGAATATCAAGGTTACACCCAAGAAGCCAAAGTCCGCTAAAAAATAAAGGGAATTTATTACAATTTCATTTCTCACAACTGATTTTTATTAGTGATTGTTTACTTGAACCCATGGAGAAGCACAATGTTATACTAAGGGTTTATCCTCTTGGAGACGAGACAATGAGGAGGTTCGTTGCCTCTTCGCTAGGAAGGAAGGAAGTTCAGATATGGCACACATCAATTGAGGTCTATGGGATGGAATACTTCTTTCAAAATGGAATAACGAAGGCGCTTCCTGGGTTTACCATCCATGGAACCCCTGTAAAGACCCATGATCTTGGGACTACAGACATTCCTGAGATTGTGTTTGAAGACTTTCTTCTTTCCATAGCAGACGATTTTGCTCCCCATAAGTACCACCTGCTCAGAAACAATTGCAATAACTTCACAAACACAGTGGCATTGTATCTAGTTGAGAAGCCCATCCCAGAATACATCCTTGAACTCCAGAATACAGCATTAGAGTCAGAGGCCGTGTCATCTATAGTTGATTTGTTCTTCGGGGCACCTGAGCAAATATAATCTATATCTCCCCCTCCTCTTTTTCCTCACCGATTGATTCAAAGTACTTGTCCATTGCTCTTTTATCTACCGGGCTGATCTCCTTGGCACCTTCCTTTTCATATCTCCTCAATCTATTTTCCAGATCATTGATAAATTCAAAGTATATCTCCTTAGGGCTCTCCGAACTTCCTAAAAGATTCAAAAACGGCTCCGAATCCTTGAATAAATGAAATGCATTCTTGAACTTCATTTTGTAATATATCAGCCCCTCGTTATACATTTTACCCAAGAGCCTCTTAAACTCTTCCTTATGATAGCAGATGTTTTGAATAATCTCCATCTTCTTTTTTTTTATATTTGACAGGAACTCTGACTCCAGCCTGCGGAAATATCGAATAAATGAGAACAGGACAGCCTTTCTATCAAATGATTCTACTTCCTTCATCTTAAGAACATCTTCTATAGAGCTATGAAGATCAATCCCAAGACCTTTGAATATCTTTTCAAGTCTCCTTGCAGTTGTGCCTCCCATATGCCTCTCGACATACACTTCGTAGCACCCAAACTTGTCTTCAATCTTTAAATAGTATGGATGCTTTGAAAACACATTGTTAAATCCAAAGAAGTCCGAAACATTAACGTCAATCTTACAAACCTCATCCACATAATACTTCTGCCTTCTAGCTTCTTCTTCTCTGGCATCTTTCTCCTTGTCCTCAAAATATTTCCTCATCAGCCATTCTCGGGTATTTACTTCCATTGCTCTGAATATAGGCTCGGTAGATAACTTATAGAATGCATCCTTCATGTTTTCTACACTATATTGCTCCAACAGTCTATGTAGCAAGTATCTCGATGTCTCTTTGTCTGTTATCTTCATCCTTATTCCTATCCCTCTTATCAATGCCTTCTCTCCTTTCCTTTCCAAGGGTCTTTTCCATCTGCTTTCCCCAGTAATGGTGTTGTGATAGAAAGTCTTTCCTTGCTTACTTCTGCATTCAATCCATGGATCCACCTCAAACTCTTCATCTGAGCTCTTTAGTATGTCCGGCTTGGTGAAGCTGCTCTTCCTTGTTCTCCTATTGTAGTAATATGTCCTGTTGTCCGGTGCAACAAGTATCTCGTAGTCAAGCCTTGATTCAACAGCCCTCATTTCTGCCAGGGTTGCCCATACTATCAAAAAGTCCACCTTCAAACACTTCTCTTCTCATTAAGAATACATTATTTATTGTTGTTCCTATTCTTTGGCCTGGTGTTCAATTCGTTGCAGTTGTAGCAATAGAACTCATTGAGATCATACTCGTTTGGATGAACCAGTCCATTGTGATGGTTGCACTTTTTGCAAATCAATGCATACATCGTACTTGGATCATCCCCCAGGACAACATCGGTGATACTATCCATCATTCCCCTCCTTCTTTGCTTGATACTTCCAAAGTAATGTCTCCTCATCGACTCACTCTCGTACTTGTCAATAACCTTCCTTGTGGCTTCGAAAGACTCCTCCTTTTTCAGAAGAGCAATCTGCTCCTTCTGTCTTTCTTTCAAGGTCTCAAGACCGGATTCTAGTCTTCGGATTCTCATCTCATATAGGTAAACTAAAAGACATCTCACCACGTAACATCCAAAAGCACTACCCAATCCAAATAGTATTATACTTTGGCCATCTAAATATGAATACATCATAGAGAGGACAATAGCCACAAACGATCCCACCAATGACTTCGTTCGAATACCATCCAGAGAAGCAGACAACTTCTTTCCTGCCTTTTCTTTCTTGCTTATCTCCTCCTCAAGCCTTACAAGACTCTCTCGGAGTGGAACATTCTTTGAGAGCACATTCCCCATCAGAGGGGTATTCCCTAACACTTTGAACTAACAAACTGAATTTTAATATTCTTCCACAATGTCAAACACCTCTTCTTTCTTGATCCTAATGGAGTCTAGTGGGTAAACCAGAGTGTCCGTGCTTTCGGAAACACCAATCCTCTTGTAGTTCCTAAGAAACTCAACTCCAGAATAATCAATCACACAAACATCGATGTTAGATCCAGAGTATAGGTCGTTGAGAACCCCTGCCTTCACAGCATCACATGCAAGCTCGATGGCTTCGCCCTTGTCCATTAGTCTGTACTTGCCTTCGAGCATTGCTATGGCTGCAAGAGATCCAGACCCCAGGGATGTAAATAATACAGGACTCGACGATCCATGAGGGTGAATATCATACAAATGGCACCCTTCATCATCTATCCCCCCAACTATCAATGCTGCACCTATCCCTCCTCCATACCTATGCAGATGATGCGTACATACTTTTTTGAAGTGAGACACAAGTGGAGAGCGGAAGTATTTGTTTTCAAACAGTCGGAGCTCCTTGGATGCCATCCTTGTTACTCTCTCGGCATCTGCAGCAGTCCCTGCTCCACAACACATGATTTTATCTGTAATTCGATGGATCTTCACACAGTTCCTGTCGGAAACAACAGGCCGTTGCGTCGACCTTGTATCTGCTGCAAGTATGACCCCAGTCTTGTATTTCATTCCTACAATTGTTGTTCCTGTCTTTACTATCATCCGGGGTTGCCCATCCCCAATATTAATCAGGCTTTTTCTATCCTCCGCCAAACAATAGGAATCTGCATCCAAATATTAAAATAGACTTCCGTCAATATCCATGGTCCTTGGCTCCATAGCTATACAATTCATACATGTGGTTCTTGCAGCCATGATTCTTTCACTAGACTTCCTATTCTTGTTATTCACAATCCAAAGGTCTCTGTACTTTTTTGGCAAGAGCATGAAGAGAAGGCCAGAGAGCATGAGAGTCAGATTGATGTCTGGATGCAGAAGTGAGCTTTATCTGATAGATTGTATGTCTTGCACAGACCTCATATATCTTCCTGGAAACTTTGTGGCCATAGAAGAGCATATAGAGTTCTGTAAGTACCTATCAAAGATGCTTGAATGCAATGTGATTTCCATGGTATATAGAGGAATAGCAGGAAATTGCTGTTCCCCATCCGAAAGAGGAATAATCGAGGATCTATCACCAATTTCTCAGTGGATATCAAGAAGAAGCACTCGGAAGGTTGTGCTGGGATTTTCCATAGGATCAGCTGTAGGAGTTCGTCTCGCAGAGAAATGTCATGTTGATGCTCTTGTCCTAGTGAACCCATTTATTTCATTAAGGGAAGTGGTAAGTAACATTCTGTTTGGCAGAGTTCTAAAGCATTTTATAGTGGATGAATGGAATAATGTGAGTAGAATGAAAGAAATCAATGCACCTGTTTACTTTGTTGTTTCTTCCAATGACGAGATAGTTCCTCCATCACATACAGATGAGCTTATCAAGAAAACAAGACTTCCAAGAATGATTGTGATTCCCGGTGCAGATCATAATGAGCCTATGCGAAACTTTGCAACACACCTATACCCAGTGATAGGAGAGATTCTGAAAGAAAAGAATCATTAAGTGAATGAAGAATGTGGGGTTTATTACCTATTTGCAACTAATGAGGGTGAGAGCAATGAATTACTACAGCACTAGACAGGTAACCTATCAACAAAGTAAGTATCCCATGAATCCTGCTTACCTTTGGGTGATTGAACATCGGGGGAATCATCTCAATAGATACCATGAACATTATGCTTCCTAGAGCAAGCCCTTTGAAGATGTTTTTGATGGTATGGCCAAAGAATCCAGGAGCAGATCCTATCATAATCCCGATAGGCGTGAGAGATGAATAAAACAAAGCAAGAATTAATCCTGTGGAGAAATTAAATCCAGAAGTGAATAAAGGAACACCAAGAGCAAAGGACTCCAGAACCTTATGGAGGATAAGGCCCATCTCCAAAGAGCCGATCTTATCGATAGAATTGAATGCCAAACCTTCAAAGAATGAATGAATGGAAATACCAAGTATGTATATAAATACCTGTGTTCTTGAGGATGTGTTTTTTATAGCTCCACTGGGGTCACAGCATCCTAGTCTTTCTGCTTCTTTTCCTGAGGCCGGAGTGTCCAGAGCCTTTTCACCAGGCTTTGGTACATGATTATTTCCTCGGGTACTTATTCTGCGATGGGGGTCGTTCCCATGACATTCAGTATCGTGGGTGTGCTTCTTTTTTTCTTCTTCTTCACAGTGTTTATGCTTCAGAACAATAGTATCAATGGCTAAGAGGAATATGAAGGAAAGGCCAGCAGTGAAGAATCCCAGCATAGGAGACTCATGGGTGTGATGGCCATGGTTATGTCCTTTGTGTTCATGGCAATCAGAGACCATGTGGGGACTCAATTCTAGAAGCTGAACGCCAAGAAGAAATCCAGCAGTCAAAAGAGTCAAAAAAGGGAACACTTTCCTAACCACTTTAAGAGATGTTATTATCTTTGGACTCAGACAAACAAGTAACGACGACGAAAATATTATTACTGCAAACAATATCACTTGTATGTTCATTTTCTAAGGGTGTCGAAATATTTGGTATTGAATCCAGCCTAATGAGTCTTTGTTATTTCCTCAACTATAGAGACTTCGTCCCTTATCTCCAGCTTCAGCACACTCCTAAGATTCTCCACGATGGCATTGTTTCCATCTAGAACGGCGTCCGCTATATTGCTATATACGTTCCTCTTATCTACTCCTAGCCCTTCGATATATCCAAGAAACACAGAGAGTATATCTGTATTGTTCCCAAGCATGTTAAGAGACAAGAAGTACCCTTTGTCTTTCATTCTGAAGTGCTTCTCCCTCATCCTGGCCTTCTTTATGTCTTCCATGTGTTTCATGTACTCTTTTTCGATCAAAGCCCTTTCTTCTCTGTCAAACGGCACCATCTAATAAGAAGGGCCTCCGTAGGTTAGACGGCGCTTTACATTCGCATAAGGCCAGATATAAAAATAAAAAAATGGCGATACTTCCATGGGTGTTCCCTCACTATTCAGATGGCTACAACTTTCCCACAAGGTGGCAATACATAGCATTTTGGAAAATCCATCTGTAGACTGCCTGTACTTGGACTTCAATGCAATAATTCACACATGCATCAAGCCCGGGCTAGAGTCTGAGGAGGAAATTGAGAGGGACTTGCACAAAACAGTAGGAGACTTCATCGATTATATTCTTCTTAAGGCACGGCCTAGAAAGCTGTTATACATAGCTATTGATGGAGTGGCTCCTCGGGCAAAGCTAAGTCATCAGAGAGCTCGTAGGTACAAATCGGCTCTAGGGAAGAAAGAAGGGAGTTCTGTCAAGTCTATTTCCAAAACAGAATTTGCTCCACAATCGGAAAAAGAGAGGAAAGAAGAGGGTAGAGATGAGGAGTTCACTGGGGAGAGCTCCTTGTATGATAAATTCATTGTAGAGGATATTTCCGAGTCATCTTCTCTTGCTGTGGATGTGGAAACCGAGAATTTTGATTTGAACTGCATTACTCCTGGAACACCTTTTATGGAAAGACTGCATAATGTCCTTATTTCTTATATCCAGTATAAGCTCAGCAATGATCCAGGAGTCTCACACCTAAAGATAATCTATTCTAGCTACCTTGTTCCGGGAGAAGGAGAGCAAAAGATCATGAGCTTTATAAGGAGTCAGGAATCGGTTGCGAGGAATGACGTCCACATGATATACTCCCCAGATGGAGACCTTATGTTCCTCGGACTTTCTTTGCATAGGAGTAAGGTCTTGATAATGAGGGATTACTTCAGTCCGAATAAGGCACGCATGAAGAAGACCTGTGCAAAATGTAAGAGATCTGGGCATTCAGATGAGGAGTGCGGGGTGTTCACAAACTACCACTTTGTATATGTTAACATCTCTGAGCTTAGAATAAGACTTATCAGGGAATTCAGGAGATACACGACCCAAAGGTTCAATGAAGAGAGAATCCTAAACGACTGGATATTTCTTTGCTTTCTTCTCGGAAACGACTTTGTACCACCCACACCATGCCTAGACATAAGGTTCCACTCCATTGAGACTATTACAGAGATCATGGCCAAGAACTTCTCTGTAACGAAATCGTACATTACATGCAGTTCAACCATAAACTTCCAAGCTCTAAAGAACTTCTGTACGATTCTTGCAGCCAAGGAAGACGGGTTGTACCATCGAAAGTCCCAGTCCTTAGATAAATTTAGAGAGGGGCTGAAAGATGTACCTAACATTACCTATGAAAAGATTCCAATTCATACTAAGACAGGGAAAATCCAGTATTACGCATCAAAGCTGAATGCAAACACGGAGTCTGACATCAAGAATGTGTGTTATGAGTATATCAAAGGGCTCTACTGGGTATATTCATACTACATCCTTGGATCTACAGGATGGGATTGGTATTACCCGTATCATTTTGCACCTCTTGCAGTGGACTTGTCCAAGATTTCCATAAGTGAGATCCGCATCAATCCAGGCCTTCCCTTAAGGCCTCTTGAACAGCTTCTGGCCGTTCTCCCTCCCATGAGTAAAGGTATGGTTCCTAAGGTTCTCCAGCCTATATTTAATGATTATAAGGACTGCTACCCGGAGGATGTAAAGACTGACATGTTTGACAAGGTCTATCTGTGGCAGGAAGTTGTTCTTCTCCCATTCGTAGACTTTCGGAGCATTTTATCTGAAAACGCCTCAAGGTTTAACTCTCTTGGATATGAAGACCTGAGCAGAAACCTAAGAAGTTTAGACTTGCTCTTCACCGTTGATAAGAAGTCTAGTGAGGTAATATTGAATATGTATTCTGAGCTAAAGCCAACCTGCTCTATAAAAGGCCCTGGATACTCTGGAAATATCTCGCCTTATTCATTTGCCAGTTTCCCTGGTGACACACTTGAATACAATGGCACCAGATTTGTTAACAAAACTATCGTTGGTTTCATAGACCCTAAGAAGAATTAAATATCTCTTGCCTAGTTCTTTTAATCAAAATCCTTGTCGTCAAACCTCACAACCTCCAGAATCCTGGTTTCCATGTCTAGAACAACCACCTCATGCCTCTCAGAAAATCGAGGAATTGTGAAGAACAGTGTTGTACCATTCTCAGATTGCCCCTCAAGAAATTCATCTGTATCGCCTACACAGAGGTAATCCACTTGTCCTGTAACAACAAATGGATCTTTTCCTGAGAATGGTACAGATTGGATAGTATCTGGAGCAGTTGGGCAGACATGACCAGCTTTCATTAATACTTCCAACGCCCTTATGATGTTTCCCTCATTACTCATACTTCTTGGTGCGGCTTCGTTTATCTTCTCCATGTCTAGGTGCATCTTGTATTCAAAATTATTTCCTTGGACATTTTCTAAGTCTTGAGGAAGGTATTTCAGAAGATCCTCAACCACAAACCTTGTTGTGATCAATACCTTCCTACCATCTACTTCCAAATGGCAAGGATTTGTGTTTGCCCCCACAGGGAGTGTAAACAGCTTTGGATGGACAGGAGACAAAGGTAGGACCCTGGATCCAAAATCTCTTATGTTTGGGATAAGATTAATCCTCCCTCCAGCATATTTCAAAACACTATCTAGCAAAGAAAGCATCTGCTTGCTAACCTCTTTGGACTCAGCAAAGAAGTTTCCGATCATGATGTATTCTTTCACTCCAGTCATCCGAAGATAGTCAATTATTACCATCATTCTTTCTCTGTTCTTGTTCTCATTGCTTATAGAAGGCCCACTTATAAAACAGACTCTTTGCCTAGAGTTCAGATTTCTTGAGATATACGGAAAGCTTTGAGGATGAGAGAACGGAAATAGGATATCCTCGGCAAGAAACTTTGTCCTTTCTGTCATCGCCCCTGCTACTCCAATACACATCCCAGTACTTATCACAAAGTTTCTTTGGTATATCCAAGAGATATCCAGAAACTCAACTTCTACTCTCCCGCTTCCATCTTCCAAGAAATACTTTATCTCTTGGGAGTAGTATGTTTTTGCCTCCATCTCCTTGATCTTCTTGGACTTCCTGTTGATTTTGTCAAATATCGTGGGCTTTAGATCGCTGGCTATGAATAGGGTTCCAATTATCACACATCTTCTGTTTCCAGGCTCTTCCTCAATGCCAAGAATAGAGTCTAGTATTGGTCCTGCATTCAAGGCCTTTGCAGACTTTATGATATATGGCCTTAGTTCCGCAAGCCTTGCATCATATGTTCTGTTGAACTGGTGCTCGTAATTCACTAAAGATAGGTCGTCCATTCTAGGATCAGGGGCTTTAAAGACATCCCCCACTATGAAAAGTAAATAGTTTATTGATAGAACGATGATAAAGGTCCTAAGGGGATTACCTTCGGAAATGAATATAGAATTCATGGATACCATCTCCTACCTTCTCTAGTATCGGCAGGTCAAAAGGGAAAAAATATAAACAGTCATGGTCATAACTCGAAAACATTTTGCATTCATAACCAAACAGATCGCAAAACATCTCAACAACGTTTCTATTCATATACCTCGCTATCCCAGAGTCAAAGATCTGATCTATAACATCTTTTGCTGCCATAAAAATCTCTCTTCTAAAACAGGAAATGTACAAAAGACACTGGCATGCTGAAACATATAGGATCGAAGAAGATCTGCTAAGAGACCTGATATATGATAAATAATCTCGAACGTACCCAGATTTCACCCCCTCATCTATTCTGCATCTCACAATTAAGGACGATAGATAGGGGAGGTACACAGTTGGGTTTTTGTAGGTTAGTTTGAATAGGAACCCAAAGACAGCTTGTGGATTCCGGCAGCAAAGCCTGAAGAGAAGAAATTGTATGTTCCGAGTCTTTGAAAGCAATGAAACCTCGAAAGCTTTGAGCACTTCGTCGATCTTGAAGTCATGGATAGCATCAGACAGATTCTCGTATGCAAACAGAAACATCTTAATCTTCTCTCTGAGGTTTGCATGGCTCCCTTCTATAGGCGTGTCATAATCAGATATAACCTCTTCCCATTCTTCCTGAGTCAGTATTCCATGCATTACACTTATGTAAGCATCAAGATTCGTGAGCTCTTTAACAAGACTTAGAAGAGTGGGCCTCGTCAGGGCTCTGTCGCGTGCATAGAGCACCATTCTATCCGCAACTGCTAGATCAATAGGTGTCTTCTTCAAGCTTTCTAGGAATTCTAGTCTTTCTTTATAAGTTAACGCCATGGGGATCAAATTTTTTGTTCTTTAATGCAAGGGCCCCACTAAAGAATGGGTTGTAACAATTTAGTGGGTGTTGGCTTCAAAACCATCTTCTTCTCCAGCTGAGGATCGTTTTGTGCTATGCTCTCTCTCAACCTCCTTGTAATATTTCTTATGCTCTTCAAGATTGATGAGAGCCTGGTTGTACAGAAATCTAAAATCCTCAAATACCAGAGAAAATGAATCAGCTAGAGGAATCGATATTTTCTCCATAAGACTAATATCCTCGTATATATCCCTAAGTGTTCTATTGTAGTCGTCATCATCATACACCTCTGACCAGAATGCGATCGAGTTCTTGTTGAAAATTCTATAGTCCTTATAGCATGAGCTCAAATCTGCCAACTTTACAATCATTTTCAGCTCTATCTCAGAGATCTCCCCCTTAATGCCATTCCTGACCTTCCTACACAAGTCTCCCCTCCTCTTCTCAAAATACTTGTCCTCAAATACATCGATTATTTCTTTGTTCAGCCGTAAGTCTGTTGCAAAGATCATCCTCTTGATGAAGTCCATTCTTCTCTCTAACTCTGCATCGTCTAGATTTGCAAACAGCTCATCCCTATATCTGACAATCCCTTTTCTACATATGGCTGCATGTATCATTTCGAAGGACATTGCCTCAGGATTTCCATACATTTTAGATAGCCTTGCGATCTTCTTTCTGTTTCTTTCCCCAGGATGCCCTACATCGTGCAGACTCAATGCTATCACCAGACACATTTTATCCAGTATTGGCAAGCAGGATACATTCTCCAACCTTCGAAGAATAAAGTCTCCAAAGCATAATGTGTTTATCAGGTGATCGAGATTGTGGTACCTCTGGGGAAGCACATGGAGAAAAGAAAATGAAAAAAACAACCTCAGTGCTTCCGGATTTACTCCAAGAAGATTGAATCTGGAATCCCGGACAAGAGTTCCCATGACGGCATCTATCCCATCGGCAAGCGATATGCCTTCTAAATGAAAGAACTTGTATGAGGACATGCTCAACCGAAGGTCTCCCACCGGCTTGGAGCAGAAATTCTTTTTACTTTCAACAGCCCTTGCTATCACGTCACACATATCTTTAGGTACTTCTTCGCTTTGGTCCATTATAGTTGGTCTTCTTCCAAGGGTCGCCACTTGAGTATTTCTTTGATCCTACAATTTTTGACACTAATTTTTCTTTAATTTAATATCAAAAAATTTATCCGTTAGTGAGGGTTTATCTCAGGTAATATCATATAGCAGAAAAGTTAAAGTTCTCTTTTTCGCCTTCAACAACAGAAATCCCCAGGCTGTTTTTGAATGCTTGGGTTACAATGATATAGTGTGGCGATTCCAGATCTACCCTTAAAGATATGTTTTTCGTTATGAGATTGAAGACCCTTTCCTTCATGTCTGCATGGCACAACCTTCCCTCATACACTATCTTGTAACTCTTGCTTTCATCGAGCCCCCTAACACTCTCCAGGATCTTTTCTTCATCAAACTGGAAGAAGTTATCTAGTGGAACTACCCTATACACATACTCAAATCTCGTCTTTGAGGCCCTGAGTTTGTAGAACAATGAGAGAGATGTCTCAGCGCTTCTATTCTCCAAGAACAGGATGCATCTATAGCTGTCATGCTTTGCAAACTTTGTGGAGCTCTTGTACTCTTCTATTTCCTCTTCAAGAATCTGTCGGATACTTCTTCCCCTCACATCTTTTGTTGGGGGTTCTACCAGCCCTTGCAACCTCCCAATCACTTCCCTCAGCCCTTTGGGCTCCTTGTTCAGTCTGCAGGAAACAAAGAAGCCGGTTCTCATGGGGTGATGAATGATATCTCTTACAACCCTGAAGATTGGATGGAGGAAGATGAAATGGACGTTGAGATCATAGAGCATCATCCTGAACTTCTTGGAAGCCGTGAAAGCCTGTATAAAAAAAAGGCACCGCTTGCAAATGTTGAGGAGAAAGATCTACATTACTTTAATTTCATAGGTCGGAATGAATGTAGAAAAGCTGTTGTAGGGTTATTTGGATTTGGAGGAGCAGGAAAGACATCTCTGATCAAGCTATTGGGAGGTAAAAGTGTTATAAAAGGGACTGGGCCATTCCTCATTACAGAAACCCCGTATGAGATGGAAAGAGGGTGCACAATCCATGTCCATCCGACTGTTGCTTTTATCCAAAGGGAAAGCGGAGCCTCATGCATAATGACGCTCCTGGATACTCCAGGGCATTCCGATCTAATACATGAGACTACTAAGGCGATTGAATGTATTGATATTGCAGTTGTAGTCCTTGATATTTGCTGCGACTTATCTCTTCAATACGAGGTGGTTTTTAATGCCATTGCGGCCAGTAAGAAGCCACTGATCATAGTACTCAATAAGACTGATTTAATTGGAAGAGATTTTGCAAGCTTCATTAAAAAGAAGATAGAACACCTCAGAAGTATTGTAGAAGAAAAAATGTGTCCCCGAGGATGGTTTGCTGTATCCTCCAAGTACGGGAGTCTTAGCAGAATAAAAGCAGATGTGTATGAATCAAACGAAAAGTCCGAGGATGTTCTTAACGAGTTGATAGAAGAAATATTTTGCCTAGAGCCAACGAAACATAACTATAATGATGAGGAAAGGTTCGGAGGATTTTTGTGGGCAGGAGGAACTATATTGTTTGGTCTTGTGCCAAAGGCTGATTTCAATGCAGGGTCCACAATTAAGGTGTATGGAACCGACCTGGCTGCTGAGAAACTCTACATTCCATTTCCAGGATGCCTTGTAGAAACCAGGGCCGTCAAGGCAAACATCGGGGTGCTGGTAAAGTTCCAAGAGGGCCTTCTACAGAAAATTGAACTTCCTAACAACCAAAAGGTTTTAGGACATACGATCAAGAAAGTTTTGGAGGACAAAGGATTGATGTGCACCGACTCCGAGCTTCTTGAAGTAGTGGATCCTGTGATTAGAGTCCAAGTGAGCCCTAGTGACGAGGATATCTTTTTGAGGGAGGTTTGGAAGCTAAGACTAATATATCCAGGCTTGAAGATTGGCAAAAAGAGTCTGTGTGGAAACGGAGAGCTGCTTATGGATGCTGTACTGTATGATTTGAGGAACAAGCTGAATGTTGAATTTCAAGTTTTGAGTGTTTCTTCAAATCTCAAGGAAATATTCAAGGATTCATTCAGAGAAGTAGTGGAGACAGGAAAAGGACTGTTAACAGTTGAAGGAGGGGTAACCAGAGACATCGATGAAGACCATAAATTTTCTGGGTACATAGAGAAGCAGATATTGAGTAAAGGCCCACTGATCAAAGAACCTTTTTCTCATTCATATCTGGCTATATCTCCCGAGCCTTTGGAGTTAGACTTTGAATGCTTTAGGAAGATAGAAGATTCTATAGTCAAACATGTTACAATTCTGGAACCTCTTTATCTAGTCGAAATAGTGTATACTTCTGAGGCGGAAGATTTAGTCAATGAAATGATCAAATCTTCTTTTGGCGAAGTGATTCGTCAGAAGTCTTTTCCTTTTAGTATGCTGAAAAGCATATTATGCTATATTCCTGTCCCAGAGTCTTTTGGATTTGAGACAGATCTCAGAGTTTATTCCTGCTCGAAGGCTGACTGCATAAAGATTCCATTGTATTGGCGCCCAGTATCTGACAAAAGTAGGGCAGCCAGCCTGACCAGGTTCATGAGAAAAACTAAAAGATTTGAATTACATGGTAATTGAAGCCACAAAATCCTTTATTAATGAAGAGCTATTTTTTTATTTCACTTTCCAACACAGCAGCTCTGTAGTTTTCATATATTTCGCTTGCTGTGTAGTCAATGAGTCCATAGATATGAGTGCTGAGAAGCAACTCCCTTAGTGCAGGAAGGTCGCAATGCTCCGGATTATCTATACTTACGCTTCCCCATTGATAGTTCCGAACCCTTGACTCAAGGTTTTCTCCATCTGCAGAAACAATCATGAATGGAACAAGGCTGTTTAGGTCGTTTCCTGCCGTGGGGGACGAATAGATCTCAGGGTCATCTAGATCGAAGATAGAAATGTTGTAGTGTCTCATCTGCTCTACGACCTGTCTCTTGACCTCTATTCTCTCTGTAATACTCAACCCATCAGACTTGCTGATTACCGGGATGATGTTGACTAGTCCAGAAACCTTCTTCAGAAACACGATGTCTCTGTTCTTGAGTCCAAAGGAGGTTGAGGGTATGAAATACAGCAAGCAATGAACTCTTGTGTCTTCATATTTAGGGTTTCTTCTAATTTTTGACTCCTCTGCTATGAACATGTCCAACTGGGCCTTGATGAAGTTGCAGATTGTCTCCTGTATCTCGGTGTCATCAAGGGTCTCTCCAAATCCAGGCGTATCGATCAAGGTAATTCTCTGCATGATACCCTCGCAGTCCAGATTTAGCATGTAGAGATCGATTCCTTCCTGGCCTTTGGATGTAACAATCTCCTTTCCTATCAGGGTATTGAAGAACGAGGACTTTCCAGATCCTTTTGGTCCGGCTGCCATAATTGTGAATCTCCTGTTCTGCCTTCGAACAATCATTTGTTTGTTTATCTGCATAGCTATTTAATAAACAAAACCTAGAGCCTTCCTGGTCTCACTGTACTGGGGAGAAGGAAAAGAAGCCTTTGAAATGCTCTCCGACAGAGTAGCAGGCATCCACACCTTCAAGAATAGAAGACTGTAGCTTATCACATACAATCCTGCCGTTCAGAGACAGATAGGCAATGCTTTTTCTATTCATTAGATATGCAACGGTGATGACAGGAATCTTTTGGCTCTCCTCCGTGGACGTAAGGTCGATACAGTGTTCTCCGATAGTAGCAGAGTAGCACATGTCCATCAGGGGAATTCCAAAGTATGATAGGCAAAGAGTTATGCAATTGACCATGGTGGACAATAACGATCCACCGTCTTCTCGAACAACGACTTTGATGCCTACTGAGGTTTCAGGAAGCAGGATGTCACTAAATATATCTAATAGAACATCCTCATACTCCAATATCCTTTTCTCGTTTACAGGCTCCTGCCTTGAAACAGCATAGAACTCCACCTCAATGTCCAGCTTCCCAGCCTCCTTAGCCCCACCACACATCACAGACACTTGAGTATTTCCTTGCCTTACATCCACCACACCTTTTTTCCCAACCATCCTCCTTACTACTTCCACTCTCCTCAGCTCCCTAGGCCTTCTTCCATCTTCTCTGAATCCCTCCTCAGAAACTATCATCAACAGGCTTGGTACAATTTTACATAAAATATCTAGGAGGACTAAAAAAGATCCTAAGGCCCAGTCCTTATAAACCTATGGGCTTAGAGTACATGGAGTGCAAGAACCTGTTTGAGACAAAGAACATTCGGGATATCGTAAGCATATCAAGGCTACTTGGAATGCCACAGAAAACTACATACTTCACTCTAGCCATCTACTACAGATACATCCTTATGATGAAGAGCAGAAAGACCATTCCAATAGGTGCTGCCTGCATACTACTGTCCGGTAAAGTAAATGGGTCTTTAAGGAGCCTTGAGCACATCTTGAAGGCAAGCTACAAACACTATGATGTTGACCCAGAGAAGTTCTTTCAAGAGGACTATAAGGATGCAATTGATATCGAGCTCCATGCCTGCATTGCAATGGACTTCAACTTCGAAATGGAGGATCCTTATGGTTTTCTAGAGAAGTTATGCATGGATAATGATATCGACAGGTCAAGGGCACAAACAATATGGGTTATGTTGAACGATACAATGTACCTACCATTTATACTGTCCTTCAGCATAAGGAGCATTGTTGTGAGTTGTATATTTATCTCAGACGTTGCAAGGGGCAATGGGTGCGAGGACATAGATGAGTTCAAAGGAAGATATAAGCTTTCGGAAATCAATACTGAAGATATAGACTTTATTTCCAGAGAAATTGTGTCGTTTTACGAATGTGCGTCAAAATAGAATAGTCCATCTACATAGAAAATTTAATCCTTGGATAGAGTTACAACGAACTATTTCTTGCAGCATTCATCAACCCAGGCTGAATACACGTCGATACCAGTAGTGAGCTTATTTGCATCGCAAGAGAAGTTTGCATCACACACAGAGCAGTTTGCAAACCCTTTCATCAGAGTTCTCTTGACAATGCACTGAACAACATTCTCGTGGTTGCACAATGGACAATTGAATCTCTTTTCGAGCTTCGTTTGTCTTCTTGGAACATTGGATTTTCTTTTTACTTTCTTTCTACTCATAAGGGGACTTGGAGGTGGGATTAACATATCTCTGGGAAGATATTAAAGCCGGGCGTTTTTAGCCCAAGAATGAATATAGTGGATGCAGAGGAGAGTGATGTTGAATTGATTGAGCTGCAAGGAGATGTCGAGAATATAGATGCTTTTGATGGGGAGTTTAACAAAGAACTTATCCAACTTGAATTTGGATCATATGTTCTTCATGGAAGAAAGGTGCATAAGGAGTTCAGTGTCCTTGAAGCAACCATCTGTAATGAAAGGCCTTGCTTGAAGGTAATAAAGAGGATCAGGAATGTGTATTTATTTGACAAGGCTCCTAGATATAGGAGGCCTGGGCTTACAGAAGATAACTAAGCATCCATGCGGCATACAATGCATTTCTCATCCTTTGCAAGATGTAGCTTCTCAAAAACCATATTCTCCTCTCCACTATAGAATATGAAGTCGTAGGATAGGTTTGGTCCATCTAGCAATCTGCAGGCTAGGCTTGCACATACAGAATTAATAAAACATACATTTGGTATTATTCCATCATACATCCCAGTAACCTCAAACACATCTGTCCTTAGTTTCTCTTTAGCCAAAGCATTGAATTCGTTGACTATCTGTTCAATTTTCTCTCTCTTACTTCCAAGGCCATCTCTCTTAAGTTCCACCAAAGACCGAAGTACTTTTTCCCTGTTTTCTAGTGTTATTTCTTTTGGCAGAGAGCCCAGAGAACACATCCCAACCCCGTCCTCTCTATACAATTCTCGAATGCAATACAAACACGAGGACTCCTTATAAACAGCCTTTGCATGTGCCTTGTAACCACTTATTCCACAATCTATAAGAAGCTTGCATCTGGATCTTCGGAACATCAGGTTCAGGTTCATTCTTCCTTCAATGTTGTCAAGAGCCCCAAAAATCACATCGTATCGATCGAAAACATCGACAGACACCTCTTCTATTCTTTGTGTTAAAAAGCTTGCTTTAATTCCATACAAATTGGACACAAATTCTGCTGCCTTCTGTGACTTATACTCTCCCTTGTCTTGACGAGTAAACATAAAAAGCCTGTGAAGATTTGTTAGGTTGATTCTGTCATGATCTATCACAAGTACCTCGCTAGCCATGTCCTTCAAAACCTTCAGTAACTCCACTCCGGTTCCTCCGCACCCTAAAATTAGCTCAGATAGCACTTACCGACTAGAATCATCTTCATAAGGGAGCCCAAAACAAGAAACATTTCACACCTAGAAGATACTTGTTTTATTTAGGACATCCATGGCATGGTCAAAAGGCCTTAAGAACATCCGGATATATCCTTATTATCTTCTCCTGTACATCAATAAGGATGAGGGCCTGTTCAACAAGAAACAACTCATCATAACTTGCTGCACATTTCAGGGCTTCTTCATACACCTCCCTGCAGCTCTTGTCGTTTCTTCCAAGAAGAATTCCTCCCAGATACACATATGGCTTAAAGAACTTTGAATCTGCTTCAATGGCAAGTCGGAAGTATCTCTCTGCATCCGAAACCTCATTTCTTGCCTGTGCAACTATCCCTTTGAACAGCAAAAACCGAGGATCCTCATGGTAGTACTTCTCAAAGTTCGACATCGTTGTTTCCAGTCTTGTCATGTCTTTGCATCTTAGGTAGTATTCACAAGCAATCGATAGGACATGAATACTCAGTGGGTGGCTTTCAAGAGCCTTGTTCAGGAATTCTTGTGCCCTTTCATTCCTTCCATGTCCAACCTCATAGATTATCCTGTCCACATATAGAAAGTCATGCTCCTCACACTCCATAGCCATATCAATAAACTTCTCATACAGCTCATGATTCTTGAGATTGAGATGGATCTTCGATGCATAGAATAGAACAGACACGCTCTTACTGTTCTTCAATACAAAGTCTTCTATGTCCATAGGTGTGTGCCCGTGTAAAGACTTAAGATACTCTCTAAGACAGATAGAAAAAATCATCTTCTCGTGCTCAAGTAATGAAATCGAGGACAGATCCTTTCCTCTCACATGGATCACACCAGCAGCCACAAACTTTGATATGCTATCATCTCTTTTCTCTGCTTTCTCAAAAGCCTCGTCGTACTTTCCACTCCGGACCAGCCTGACAAGCTCATCATTAACAAAAGATTCATTTCCAAACAGATCAGGAAATGTCCCAAAAAAATTCTCATAAGAAATACTAGATGGACTTGCCTCCTTTACACCAGCCATCTTCTTTGCCTCTCCCTCGGCCTCTAGCTTCAGAATCTCTTGTGCAAGTTTTCTATACTTCTCGTCTTTTGTCACAAGTCCACATAGAAAGGCGTCACAAAGTGTTTCTCTCCTCATATCCAAGGCCTTGTGACATTCGTATCTCAGCCTCAATGCCTTCTCATTATCAAGTATATTTATCTTGAGAGATCTTTCAGCATAAAGAGCAGCTTCCTTGTAGGCCCTGACCTTTGCAAGGCATATCGCAAGGTTGTTGTAGACACTGACAAGCCTCCCGTCCTCTTCCTCCATTAAACTCAGGCACTTCAGGTATGAGAGTGCTGCCTCGCCATACACCTTCTCTTTCAACAACAAAAGCCCCCTCTCCATGTACTCCCGTATATTCCTTTCTCTCCTGTTTCTTCTCCATGTCCGCACCCCCTGGCACACAAGCACAGCTCCAGATACAATGGCAATAGCTAGAAAAGCCGAAGTCTTCCTTCCCACCATTGGGTTCAAAATATTGGGCCAATTTTTAATCCCGCTAAACATCTATACTCCTGAGGCTTCATAAAGCTCTTCAAACTTGTCTGCGAATCTTGACCTCTCACCCTTCATCAATAGCCCCAGCTCACACACTTCTTCTCTACTAGCATCAAACAGGAAATACAGCATTGTCTCCTTGATCCTCTGGATATACTCCTCAGGAAACTTTCCTTTGATCCATGAAAGACAGGAAGTAATAAGCTCATAGTATCTCTCTGGATGAGTGCTTGATTCTCTAAAGTCGATGGTGCTTCCAGACAGTATCATAGCCCTTGATGCAACACATACATACATGGTTTCCAGTTCTTTCTCCATCCTTTCTTTCCTTCTTTCTTTCACAATACAACCTTCAAGATACAACCAAATCATGTTTGATGTTTCCAGAGGTAACTCCTGGTGGCCTTTGAGAAGCATATCTAGAAGCTCAATGACACTTGAGTTAAAGCAAACAAAATCCTTTTGTAATCTTTCGATAAAGGCTTTCAAGAAGATCGATCTTTGTTCTAGAGACTTCGAGCAGCATATGTAATCAGATATAATACACCTCAGTCTAACCGCCCTTTGGTCCTGACTCTGAATGTTTCGAAGAAATAGGTCCACAAGGACACTCCATTTCTTTTCAGCCTCAATGTGCTCAAAAGACCTTAGCAATAGATATCCAGAATACAGCAAGAGATCCGCCCTGTCCCCAATAGATCCTACAAACAACTCAATGTACACAAGGTGGTCAGGACTTCTCACAAAGAAATCATCAAACATAAACTGTAGCCATTCTTCTTGTTGTCCAGGATGGCAGGCAAAGACGATCATGTCTGACCACGAAACATCCTTCTTCAGGCTCTTTAGGGACCTAAGCACTTTTGACGGGTGTTTTGCAGACTCCACATCATTATAGAACATAATCCGATCAAACTCTGCTTTCCATGGATGCAGAGCTTCAAGGCTTCTGTACTTTGCCACAAGAAATCTATCATGGATGCCATTCCATTCATCTGAGCCCCCGTGATCTGCTCTTGAAAGGACTAGCCTCTGGACTAGGGAGTATGCAGAAGAGAAATCGATCTCTGTGAATCCGACCACAAGGCGGCATACTGATGGAATTGTCTCTAGAATACATATTATGGCAAAGATCTCCTCGTAAAGAGCCATCTTCCCGTTGGAGAGAGTTTCAAGGTGGAATATGATTTCCTTGAGTATCCCAGAGGATATTCGAGAAACATCCACAGCAAAGCAAAACCTGGTTAGGAGATCGATCGTTGAAATTATCTCATCTGCATCTTTTTCATTGATGAATACGAAGCTTGTGTGCCGGGAAACTATGCCTGTAAGATAAGAGATCAGTGACAATATATACTCGTCCTTTCCATTCATAGTACTTGGAATGTATGTAAGTACGGACCGGAGTGCAATGCAACATGCCACAATGTTCTTGTCAAGGATGTTATGTTTCACATAGGTAGTTAGCCTAGTAAATATTGGCAGGAGCCTCTTGAAACACATTGCCTCGTTATCCAACAGAGCTATGACTAAGCCTATTTCCTTGTAACTGAAGCCACAGCTGAAGATCCTCCTTATCATCGACTTGTACAGGCTATATGTCTGGCTGTATCCAAAATATCCTCTATAGTATTCAAGATCTCCGTCTGATAGCTCCAGCTCACTAGCAGAGCTGATGAAATCCTCCATTTCAACGGGGACTATGGTTTTTCTGATGAGCTCTATCATCTTCTGGTTGAAATCCACCTCCACAACCTTTTCAGCCTCTACAAACTCGGTGAAAAAGGCCCTGAGATCCTTCATGAGTTGGGCATTCCCCTTAGAGGCCGGTAGAGGAAGGTTCACAAGTAGGAAGTACTTCACATAGACATCGGGAATAGAAAGTATGTCTTCCAAGGATAAAGACGAGGTGCCTGATGTTATCTCGATAATTTTCTGTCTATCTGTTTTTATGTAGAAGCCTATGTCACTCACAACAGCCATCTAAGCTCTGTGTGAAGTAGAATTTCAATTGTAAAGACACCAATGATGTTGCTGGATGTGTATCGTGTGATAGAAGATGTTTGATCTCGAAAGCTCGGAATTTGACGACCCCAGGATATAACCCTGGATGACAAGTGCGGAAGATAGAGAGCTTGGGCTTGAAAAAAAGATACACAAAGCTGCACTTCTTGAGACAGTCGATGTTTTGAACAAAGTTGCTGATAAGAGAGATAAAGGTGGGAGGAAGAAAGCTTATATAAAGTCTGAGGAAAAGGAGAATAAAAGCAAAAAAGATGTTCAGAGAAAAGCCGACAGGCACGGAATAAAGCCGAGCAAACAGAAAAGAAATGCAATGAAGAAATGCGGCCAAACAACAGACGAGAAAGAGGACAAAGATTTGAAGAAGTGCCCGATGAAGATGACAAGGAAGGAAAGAAGATTGGAAAAGTTGAAGAACAAAGGAAAGGGGCCGTCTTCAAAAGAATATTATGAGAAGTTTATCAAGAAATACAAAGACAAGTCTCCAGAGAAAAAGGTTTCTAAGGATATCCTTCCTTCGAAACGCAAGGAGGACTTTCCTAAAGACGATGACAGCAAGAGAAAGAAGACACCTTTCTCTCAAAAAAAGAAAAGATAGGAATCAGTAACGGTCTATTCCTGGAATTAAATCCTTCTTGGGCTTTTTCTTCTCTATCCAAACGGTCTTTGCATGCGAAAGTTGGATATCTTGGCCGGGAAAAAGCTTTACAATGGAACAATGAATGGAATTAGAGTCGTCGAGTATACAGATATCTATTACCGTTTCAGCCTCAAAGTAAATGGGTTGCTTATCACCAGACCAAACCTTCAAATGTACATCCCGGTGATCGTCCTCAAGAGTTAGTCTGGCAGAGAATCTTATAGGCATTTTACTGCAGACTTTAACTTTTGATGGAACATCTACATCATACTTGATAAATCTTATCAATTTGAAGTCTAGATTCTTTATGTGATCTATAAGGAGCTTCGTATCGTTAACAAGTGAGATGTCGAAGTTTGTATTTGCAAAGAGAAATGGCACTTTTCTGAGAATATCGTCTCTTTTTTTGTGAAGCAGCTCATTCATCCCTTTGTAGATATGGTATATAAACCAATACCGATGATCGCTATCTTTCTTCATCTGGCCAAACAATCTCCTGTAATCCTGTTCCTTTTTGTCTCCACTTGGCTCTTCAAGAAATTGGCACAGAATGTCCCTGAAAAAGATATAACCATCTCCGCAGCCATCCGGCTCGGTGCACTCCATGATATCAAGGAACAAGAAATGACTTTCAATGACCTCGCTTATCCTTATTCCTGGATCTGCCTTTTTCAGCTCCCTTAAAACTGTTAGCCTTGCAATATAAACTTTGTCTTCAAGAGACCCCTCGACCTGTGCCATAGGCGTGTACTTATAAAATCTATCTATGTTTGAAAGGAACAGCCTCCTGTTTTTGGATACAATTCTTCCGATGCATTCAAATACATCTCTAGAGCTTACATTCACTTCCATGTGAGAAGTCAGGATGCTGAAGACCTCTACATCTTCATACTTAAGATTTCCAAGTAAACCCAGAATGTTCGCCTTGACCTTGTAGCTTTTCTCCTTAAGGCTTTCGCAGATCTGCCGCACTATCTCCTTATCTATGGCCAGCACATACTTCATACTTATCTTTTTGAGGTAAAGAGTGCAGAGTTCTCTGACATCGTTATCCTCGTCATTCAGAGAGTCCACAACGAAATCGAAAGCTCTTGAGGCAGTTCCTGGGGCAATTAGCGAATACACAGACGATATTGTATTTCTACGGACATCAGCATATTCATCCTCAATTCCATATATCAATCCTCCGCACAGCTCCTGGTCGTCAGGACTAGTAATCTGTTTGCTCAGAAGCTTTTCCGCCACCACTTCAGGAAGGCCTTTGAACTCCCCAATGGCCTTTGAAACAAACACCCTTATTGACAGCTCCCTATCATGTATTCCATGGCATACAGCCCTGAGTATCTTCATTTTGTACTTTTCTTCTTCAGAGAATCTCATTAGTTGGTGTAAGGCTACCTCTCTGACATCCTTGTTCCCATCCCTTGCTTGCCTGACCAGGGAGGAAACCCTAAGACTTTCTTTTCGCTTTAGATAGATTGCTCTGATTGAGTGGTCTGGATCATGCTGAAAAGAGGGAAGGGGCATCTCTGGAAAGTGTTTCCAATGCAGCATCAAGGAGACCTTCCTTACTTTAGCATTTTCATGGAAAACCAAGGCAGACACATCCTTGTAGCTAACTGGAACACCTCTGCAGAGTGCGTTTTCAAGGTACACAACCAAATGGTGGCAGTTACACTCTGCAGTGCACCCTGGAGAATAATAGTCGGATAGTGATTTTATGGAGCCATCCTCGAAATCAGTGCCAATGCTCTTCAAGACATTGCATTTGGATGGCTCGTGGAGATCAAATATCTGTAGTCCAGGAAGCATGGGGTTTGTAGAAGAGATATTAAAAAACATTCTCTGAACCCTATGGATAGACCTCAGAGGGTCAAAGACTTGTCTGGAAAGGTTAAGGATGACCTTTCATTCAACATGGAAGTAAAAGGAATTGATTTTGAGAGGGAGTGGGACTTCACGGAAATGATAAAGTCATTTGAAACTACCGGATTCCAGGGATCGAATTTATACAAGGCGATTCAGGAGGTTGAGAGGATGAAGGACTCAAAAATATTTTTTGGATGCACCAGCAATATTATCAGCTCTGGCCTTAGGGATATAATCGCTACGTTAGTGAAGAGGAAACATATCCATGTTCTTGTGATCACGGGTGGAGGAATAGAGGAGGACATCATCAAGACATTCAAGCCAACGTTCTGCGGGGACTTCAATCTCTGTGGAAAGGATCTAAGAGAGAACGGACTAAATAGAATAGGAAACCTCGTCATCCCAAGTGAAAACTATGAAGATCTTGAGAAATGGCTGAACCAAGTTATAAACGACATAACCGAAGGATATACCGAAGAACGGCCAAGAATATTGACCCCGTCTTCATTTATAAGGATCCTAGGGGAAAGGATAAATGACGAGTCCTCAATACTTTATTGGGCTGCAAAGAACGATATACCCATATACTCTCCAGCAGTTGTGGATGGATCGATGGGAGACATATTGTCATTCCATCCAAGAAGGAAAATGGTGAAGCTAGATGTTATTGAGGATGTCTACAATATTAACTGTGAAACTATCTTTTGTGGGGATACCGGAGCAATTATACTTGGGTGTGGAATTGTGAAGCATCACATCCTCAATGCCAATCTATTCAAGAACGGGCTTGAGTACTGTGTTCTGATTAATAATGCTCAGGAGTTCGATGGAAGTGATGCAGGGGCCAATTTAGATGAAGCGGTCAGCTGGGGAAAAGTCAAGCCAGGAGCAAATGGAGTCAAAATATTTGGTGATGCAACAATATTATTTCCGTTGATTGTTGGAGCCACGTTCATGAAGGAAAACAAGAAGTCTTGTTCTTAAAAAGCAATAAAGACTGAGCTTAGCTTATTTATCTTGGTTCACAATGTATTCAAGTCCCGGCTCTTTCCCATATCCACAGAGTAGTATGGGTACATTACGCCCTATAGTCGTATCAATCTCATAAGGGTCAATACCTATGGCTTTCATCCCCGTGCAATATAGAAAGCATTCCATGGACTCGGTTCGGCTTGCCTTTGGTTTCAGTAGTGCAGTCTTATTATAGAACCTCCCGAAATGGTTGGCCATGCATGAGATATACTCCCCTTGAAGGCATTTGCCTACAAATGAAGACCCTGCCTTTGAAATCCTCAATGAAGTGGCAAGTGCAGACATCAATAATTCCATCTGTAAGTACTCGTCTATCTCATGAATCCCTGTTATGTCGGGTGCACCGTCACACATCACAAGATCCGCTCTAGGCCCATCGAGCACTTCTAGTATACTCTCTAGGCATGAAGTAGAGGTTATATCATCCTTGATACATGTTGCACCCTCTATGGGTATGATGTCCTGCACGTCCACAGACACCACCTTTGGATTTCCACCTTTTTTCATCAATTTCTCACATGCATACTGGGACCAACTTCCTGGTGCTGCACATAAGTCGACAACATTTTCGATGTTCTGAAACAGATTGTACTCCTCATCTATGTTCATGAGCTTGTACACACTTCTAGCCCTGTACTTGTTCTTCTTTGCAAGTCTGTAGTATATGTCTCTTTTCTCGTCTCCGTCCATTTTCCAGGGAGAAAAAATCCCTGTCCATTCCGTCCTCATACTTTCGCCAGCTAAACCCCTAAATGTTTGGGTTGATGTCAGCCATGTACGGGATCCTGTTTCTCTTGAACTCTGTGGTCATACTGGATGAAAAGAGATTTCTGTCAAGGGTGGGCCTTCCTCTGTCTCCAGAAGCCAGAAGTGCTCTTGGTCCAGGCCGTAGAAAGATAGTCGACTTGATAGGAGCAATCAAGACCGTCATGAAGATACCTTTGATGGTGCTGAACATAGTGTGCATAATATATGAGACATTTCTTGGATAGAAGATAGCAGTAGCTTCTGTTTATTTCACAGAGTGTCACTTAGATCATGGTAATCTATATCGAATGAAGCATCTCCCTCTCTATCGGACTCCTCAGATACCCCGCCATTGTTCCTAAATAAATCATTGGAATCTAGAGCCTTTTCATTGATCTTGTGAATTCTCTGTACTTCTTTGATGTAGTTCTTGTCGTAGCAGCAATTTCCCAATGAGTTTCCAAACTGTCTTAGAGCCCTCTTGAGAGCATCAGTTGCTGCTTCCTTCTTTGCCTTTTCATATGCAGCAGCTCTACTCCTTTGGTTCTCTGCACTTCCAAATCCAATGTCTTCTCTATACGTTCCATCCTTCAGCATAACCCTGACCAGACAGGACACACCCAGGCTTATCTTCTTTTCATCGGCCTCTTCATAGTCGACAGACATGGTTCGTATCTCCGATGACCAACCGTTGAATCCAAAGATCCTGTTGGCTAAGCTTATCACCTTCCAGCCCTCAACATATGCTATTTTCGACATGTTGAACCCGGGCCTATAACTAATGAACTCAGGCCCGAGCTTTTGGTTGAGAAGCTTGGATATCTTCCTTACTCTTTTTCTACCAAACGTGCCTGATCTCCAGCCTCTTAGTTCGTCTTCCCTCATAATACCCCTTAAAGGACATGCATTTCCGAAACAAGAACAAATAAATATTTCTCTTGCAGGGGGGCAACAAAAATGGATCCTCTCATGAGCGCATTCAAAGCAAGAGAAAGTAAAACATTCTGCAGCCCAATTCCACACAAGTACGAGCAGATGTTCAAGGCAAAGAAATACGATCTAGAGCACTTCGGGTTGACATTCTTTCAGCGTGCCGTGTGCTTCTCAGCATGCTTGGGTGCAGGGATACTATCGTTTCTCTACAGCATGGTCAAGATAGTTCGGCTGTCACCATCGGGGTTTATACTCCCATACACAGTATCGAACTTCTTATTCTTCATCATGTTTGGATTCCTCCTTGGATTCAGATCATATCTGGAGGGACTATTTTCGAAGAAGAAACGCTTCCATAGCTCATGGTTCATTGGATGTACGTTTCTGACCCTGTATGTTGTTCTGAGATATGACAGGTATTTACTCAACCTGGTGTTTTGCTTCATCCAGGTGACGTCGTTCGTCATGTTTTCACTGACCTTTGTCCCTGGTGGAACCTCGGGTGTGTCCAGCATGGTCAATATGTTCTTCAAAAAATAAACGTCTAGCCTTAATCTTGTCGGTCTTGGGATTTAGATACTTAAAATATAGGTTCTCACAAAGAACTCAATCATTTACTAGATAGGAAGGAAAATGCGATAGATAGCAAGACCACCATTAGGGCTATTGCAGCCTGAGGCAGTGACGAGCTAGGCACAAGCTTTGCGAGTATATGCAGAAGAAACACATTTCCAATGAAGATAAGGGATATCACAAGGACTTGCATTGGAGAAATCAGGAGTCTTGATGGCTGGTTATACAGCAGCTCATTGAGCTTGCTCTGCCTCTTCTTATACTGCTGGATCTTACCACTTATTTGCTTCACCATTTTGAGGGTTAAACATTCTTGGTTTTAAGGGGCCTCGAAATGACCTGGATCTTTGGGAATTGTCCCATTCCTAGAAGTCCATATCAAACCCAAACTGCAGCTTTTGTACCTGTCTATTGTTAGTCAAAGGAATAGCAAAGCTTACAGACACAACAGGGCCATCCTTAGATTTCATGACAGGCACACTTGCTCCCAACCCAACAGAAGCACCAAAGCATTCATCGTCTTTGTAGGAGCGGGACCGCATGACAGGCTTGAGGCTACTCACTATGTTTCTATTCTCAGATACATATCCCAATGACCAAAATAAAAACCCTTTTGCTTGCCACTTACACACCCCCATCCTGTGTGATGCCTCAAAGAAAGAGTTTCCTCCAATCTTCAGGCCACAATTGCTTGGAGATATGCTCATGCCCCTGTACCCTCTAATGTTTTCACCAAGGTAGTACCTCTCTGCAATATGTGGTTCTCCAAGTATCAACCCTGTGGAAAAATGTATGTCCGTGAAAAGGCTTCTTGTGAGAGATTTGCCTAGGATCATCTCGGCTTGTGTTTTCGAGAATAGTTTCGAAGACCTTGAATCAAAGACACCGATCTTACTCCTAATGTTGATCGCTGCAAGTCTTTGCTTAACTTCAATAAATGCCTGGTCCAAGTATCCAATTCTCTCTTTTCCTGCACATATCTTTTGGTTCTCCCTTTCAACCTCTAAGCTCACACGAGTGTGTGGATATTCCTCGTGTGGAGACTTCATTACATCCTTAGACCCAGATATGCTGAGAAAACTTAGAGACTTCCAAAGAATAGGCTTAGTGAATCGGAAACTCATGTCTTTCGAGGTTGACATCGAAACTTCAAGGTTCTCTGCCTTTCCAAAGAGATTTGGAAGTTTTATCTTGAGATAGCCTTTTGGAACTCTTCCCGTTGTGTCTCCGCTAAACCCAACACTTCTTTTCTCTTCACTAATAGACAGGCCATCACTGGTCTTGGCTATTGCAGAAAAGATCTTGAGCTTCCTAAGCCTACTTATAACTTCATCCACATCACCACTCCCTGGAATCTTCTGGACATCGTCAAGAAACCCTTTGTCCGTTCTTTTTATTCCTGTTATCTTGAACATAGGATATCCTTCAGGGATTCCAATGTATTAAATATCACCGGAATAACTCCAGAACTAGCTAACTCATAAAACCAATCCATGAGAAATCTTTTAATACTTAGATCTTAACATCTGTCTTGCAGAAGAGAATGTCTCTAATCCACCCAACACGTGGGAAGTAGCATCCCCGAAGCTCAAAGCAGGGGTTATCGGAAAGATCCCCAGCGATGTCATATGTACTCCTGAATACCCCTATAAGCTTCTTGGAGTCATTCCATCCAATGATCCTACTCCAAATAATCTCGGACTTGTCTGCTTTACCGCCATAAATAACCCTTACATACACAAATATCTGCTTCAGGTTAAAATGAAATTGGCTTGAGAGATCGATGCTTGGCTCAAAAAATACAACCTGGGTCCTTCCATATGCCTTGTACTCTCTTATTCTCAGGTCTGATACAGGGGGAGCCTTTGCCACAAAGAATGAAAATAGAAACACGGCCAGAAGAAGAATGACTGTGGGATTGAACGTAAACGATACTAGTGCATTGAGCCTCCTACCAGCTGTCTTCATCAGGGTACAACAAAATAATTTAAAAAAAATAAGGGCTCTTACTACTACCATACAGGGCTTTATTGGAAAATATAGGTCCCACGCAGACACGAGTTAATCAATACATTTATTGGTTGGGGTTAATTTATCCGTGTATTTCGGGCGTAATTAATTTCCTATCTGGGAATATGACGAACTGTTTAAGATCAACCATATGATGTACTTAACAGGAATGGTCAGGCTATTGATAATTTTGATCTTTGGTTTTCCTGGTGAGCCTTGGCCAGAAGGAGATCCTTTCTTTTTAGCTCCTCTTGACACAGATCGAGAGTTCTGAAACCATATCTGTATTGTCCTCGGGGAAATGTTTAGCAGAATCGCCAGATTTAGTCTTGTATCATGCGAGGGATAATGAGTGATCTCAAAGATCTTCTTCAAGACATCGACTTGGGTACGTGTCTTATACTTGTATCCTATAAGTCCGAGATAGCTCTTCTCTGACAGCCTTCTAAGTTTGACAAGCCCGGCCATTGCTTCACCTTCCATCACCCATCTTGTATCCTTCATATGCACAAATCCCTGCATTCCATCTTTTTTATCTGATGTCCTGAGCAGATAAATTAAATTGAGGAGATTTTCAACCGTATTAATTATCCTGTATTGCTTGGACACCTCACCATTCATTTCAATCATCTTACATTGAGCCTTAATTGCTTGCCTTCTTGCTACATTAAAGTCTTAAGTACCCAAGAGAGTTCTTGTCCGGAATACACCTGGGCTGTTTTCATAGATACCCAAGCTCCTCTACAACTTAGACAATGAATCAAAGGACTCCCGCATCCTAAATGTATTTGCTTTTTAAGTCATCCCCAATGAAGAAGTTTGTGTCTAGGCTTCTGAATCTAGAGTTGCTTTCAGAGGTAGAAATCCAAGACATTTGTAATAAGGTATCGGAGATCCTCATAAGCGAGCCAAATGTCCCAAACAAAAAAACGCCTGTTATTGTTTGTGGAGACATCCATGGACAGTTCTTCGACCTGGTAAGTCTATTCAGGATCGATGGCATTCCTTCAGGAAAGAGGTATGTCTTCCTCGGGGACTATGTGGATAGAGGAAAAAACTCTCTTGAGTGTATACTATTCCTTTTTCTCTTAAAGATCTTGTATCCCGAAAATGTCACTCTTATAAGAGGAAACCATGAGCAATCCACCATTAATAGAGTGTATGGATTTTATGAGGAGATCATCGAGAAGTATGGCAACCCAAGGATATGGAGGATGATCAACGAGGTGTTTAATCTGATGTGTGTTGGATGCCTAGTTGATGGAAGGATACTGTGTGTACACGGGGGGATATCTCCCAAAATTATGTCCTTGAATCAGATGAGAAGGCTTGATAGACTGCTTCCCATTGGAGAAGGAAGTGAGTTTGCAGACATTCTTTGGGGAGATCCATATGAGGGGAAAGGCTTCCAACCCAGCCCCCGAGGGAGTGGGTATCTCTATGGAGAGGATGTTGTGATAAGGTTCCTTGAGCTTAATGGCCTTACAAGTATTGTGAGGTCGCATCAACTTGTAATAGAAGGCTACAAATTCCACTTTCCAGAAAGAAATGTAATCACTGTATGGAGTGCTCCAAACTACATGGGAAAGTGTGGAAACCCCGCAAGCATTCTGAGAATCAATGAGACGTTGGATGTTTCTGACAAGGATTTCTGTATATTCAAGTCCACGCCACAGAAAAAAGAGTTCCTTGAAAGGCTTGAGGGATTTGACCTATAAGGATATTCGGGTGATTTCTTTATTCGTTTCATCCCATGGATGTTCACCAGGCTTAAGACCGTAGAGGAGGAGCGAGAGGTTTGTATTCTTAAAGGATATGCAGTAAAGACATCCAGGCTCGACACTAAAAGATTCCTTCGCCTCATGGAATACAGAAGACTTCCAAAGCACATAAAGAGAATCAAGCCATGGAACGGGGATTTACTTGTACTTGTCGATATCGTGGAAGATGGAGACCCGATAAACGATGTAGTGAATCTTGTGGCAAGGATGGTAGAAAGGGGGTTTGGGTCGGAGCTTTCTTTTGACGACCCGGTTTCTCTTATTGAGACGGTAAGTGTCCCTAAATACCAGCCGTTAACAGATGCACAATACATAGAAAGCACAGCTCTTTGGCCATGCATCAGGTCGTCCAGGACTACTGAAGAACTAAACATTGAATACATTAAAACCATGATAGAAGAGGTGAAGACAAGAAAGAATGCACCGATATGCTGTGGAACTTGTATTATAGCAGATGGAAAGAGAGCACTTTCTATTCATGAAGATACAGACAATATTCTAGGGCATTCCATATTGAAGGGCATAGAAGAAATTAGTAAAGCTCAAATATCTTATCTATGCACAGGTCTTGATGCATTTATATTCAGAGAGCCTTGCTTATCATGTTCTATGGCGCTCGTACATGGAAGGATCAAAAGAGTTTTCTGTATTAACAGGGTCTCAAAAGGCGCTTTTTCTAGTCTTAAAATCAACTACAACAGAAGTCTGAATCATAGATATCCTGTTTACTTTATGAACGAAGACTATGGAGATAAGCCGGAATAAAAGATTATGGTGACAAAAGCTTTTCTATGAATAAGGCTAGAAGAGGGTGTGTAATATTGAAGAGTTTAATGGATTTCTGGGGCAACCTCGGCCTTCTTGGCTCCATAGAATGCCCTCTTCTCATCACTTGTCTGGAATCGCCCATGCCCTATCTTCGATGACGTATCAACAAACTTGATCACAAGCTCTTCGCTGGGCCTCTGTTGGTCAAGGCTCTTTCGTAATGTCACAACCCTCTTCCGGGGTCCAACAACAGCCCCCTTCACCATGATAAAGTCATTCTTCACCTCTCCGTAATGTGGGAACCCTCCCATCGGTGAGATAAACTTCTCGGTCAGGTCAAACTCAGTCCTGATACTACTGTTCCCATTTCCTACCATGTACACCCTCTTGTTCTTCTCCGTCCTTCTATGGAATCCCATCTGTCCTGCCCTTGCAACAGAGTACATCACACGGCTTGGGTGCCATGCCCCAATACATGCAACCTTCCGGATCCCCTTTCGTGACTTCCTGGGCTGCTTTCGTACTCCAAACCTCTTCACAGTCCCTTGGAATCCCTTTCCCTTTGTCACCCCAATCACATCAATGTTCTCGTTCTCCTTAAACACTTCTCCAATATGGATCTCTTTCTCAAGCATATCTAAGCACCACTCCACTTTCTCCGAAATGCTCCCTCCGTTCACTTGGATCTCAGCAATGTGTGCCTTCTTTAGCCCAAGCTTCTTGATTAATCCAGGCTGTGTCTGCACAAGAACCCTTACACACTCGGCTTTCTTCTTGATCTCAGAAATCCTTGATTCAGTCTCCTCGCTGGCACAGAACCTCTTGCTATTCTCCCTCTCCACATGCTTGTTTCCAAACATCCTTCGAAGAACTCCGTCACTCACATAAGGTGCAAGAACAATAGGCAATCTACGTAGGCCGGTAACAGTCCTCTCATATCCAACTACCCCGTACACAACCATCGGCGGCGCCTCAAGCACAGTCACAGCGTCCATCACCTCTCGAGAAAGCTGCTTGTTCTTTGCAGCCTGGATCTTTGTCCTGATCACATGTGTCATTCCGGCTTTGTACCCCATGAACCCCGTGAGGTGCACAGGTTGCGAACTGTCATCGGCAGGAAACGCCCCTGCAGACGGCCTGATTGTCTTCGACCTCTTTCTCGGGCAGAACTGCAAAGATCCGTGTCTTGGCGCACTAAACTTCCTGCAGCTCATTTAGTAAGGGCACAAATTTTTCTCATTAACCAATGTTCTCTAGAAGGATATTCAGTCTCCATCCAAGCATCAGATACCCATCAACCTCTCTGAGATGTGCCATATCCACTTGATCTCAGCAATTTTCTACCCTAAAGATGAACTTCCGCCCAGAATACAAGGAATACTTTAAGCAGGGATCAACAGCAAAAATATACAATGGAGCATTTGAAGACATGGGATTCTACGATGAGGTGGATATAAAGGAATTCAAGTATAGCAAGGAAGACAGGACATTCTACTATCCATGCCCTTGTGGGGACAGCTTTGAAATATCCTTGGAAGATCTAAAGAATGGCGAGGTTGTTGCAAGATGTCCTTCATGCTCCTTGATAATCTGTACAGTATATGAGGTAGAGGATCTTGAGGCATACCTTTGACACCCAATGAAGATGAGGAATAAAGGCCCATTCGTTTTACCTTTTAGGTTCAATCTTCTAAACTTAAACCCATAGTTGGGTGGGCCCAAAGATGGCGAAGAAGCAACAGGAGACCAAGCAGAAATCTACTAGAGACATGAAGAAGGAGCTTGAGGAAAAGGCATTTGGATTGAAGAACAAGAAGCAGAAGGCGGCCATCCTAAAGCAGATTGAAAGTCTCAATCTTAAGGAGCAGCTGGAGAAGAAGGAGAGGATGAAAAGGGAGGAGAAAAAGAATGTACCTGTGAAGCAGGTGATTCCTGTGGGTGTGGACCCAAAGACGATCCAATGCATTAACTTCTTGAACAAGATGTGCACAGATGGAGATGCATGTAAGTTTGCACATGGAGAGGTCAAGAAGGTTGAAAAGCCAAAAGAAGAAAATGTATCTTCGGGCCCGAGACGCATATGCCAGTTTCTTATTGATGCTTTGAATTCCGGTGAGTACAGCAACGACTGGAAGTGCCCATTTCCGAAGTGTAGTGACATCCACAGGTTGGTGGACATCAAAGAGAATACACAAGTTGAGTTAAGTCTTGAGGAGTACATTGAGCTATCCAGGCAGTCCTTGCCAGAGAAACTGACACCTCTGACCGAAGAGACGTTCAAGCAATGGAAAGCCAGGAAGCAGAAAGAGGAGAAGGAGCATGCCAGGAAGGTTAAGGCTCTTGCAACAGGCCCAAAGGGGGTGGAGTTATTTGAGACAAGAAGAGAACTGTTCAAGGATGATGAGGAAGCGGAAGAATTAGATTACACAGAAAGATGTTATTCGGAGTCGGAAGATGAAGAAGAAGGTTCCAAATAAATACTTTATTCTTGTTGATCTTCATTGTTTTGCAGGAGGTCCTCTTCACAGCCTCCATATTCTTCTATGTCAAAGCCCCATTTTCTAAGAGGAAAGGCCTTGAATATTTCAAGTGGAGGTATGTTGTACTGATTGCATAGTATTGATATACATTCAGAAATGCATTCTTTCCATCTTTCTATTACACTCTCTAAGTTACCATGTGTCTCTCTGAATTGTCTCATCATCTTTAACTTCCTGTTGATATCTTTCTGAATGAACAATGGATCCTTGAACTGGTCTGAATATCTTCTTTTTCTTGGTGTCTTTTGGCCATCTCCCTTGATCTTATAGAATATCTCTCCATCCACATGTAACTCACGATAACCCTCAGGGCCCTCCGGCTTGTTAGCAGTGTACATCTAGGGAGTATGAATGCAGGAATATTTCTTCTACCAACAGGATCTTCTCGTGAATTCTCAAGCCATTGGATCTACGGTTTCCGGTCAAGAGTATTGATTAAGTTCTCCCGCCAATATCGGAAATGTTTTTATAGGCGAAAGGGTGCCTGAAGAGATGATGAAAAGGGTATTCCAAGATATAACGAATGTTAGTAGAAAGAACATCAAGCTGACGATCCACAAATCATCTCATAGAAGAAAACTGGTGAAGTGGCTGTACGAGGTGATGGACGACTTTGGATATTCTCAGGTCACATTCTCGACAGCAGTTTTTATCCTGGACAAGTACACAGAAACCCGAGGCCTTGATCTTGGAAAGTATCAGCTGGTAGGGATCTCTGCCCTTTTCCTTAGTGCAAAGATAGAGGAGAAGCGATGTAAGGGAATAGAAGACTACGTCCATGTCACAGACAATACATATTCTAAGGAGGAGATTCTTGACAAAGAAGTTGAGATGCTGGAGATATTTGGCTTCAACTTGATGTTCAGGCTTCCTCATTCTTTTCTCAAGGAAAGATATCTTGAGAAGGCATCCGGTAAATACACTGTGAAGCAGAGCCAGGAAATATTCTTTTGTGCATTTTCATATGTATTGGAGAAAAACATCTGTGGAAGTAGTATGTATTGGATATATCTAGAAGGAGTTAAGGAGGCCGAGAAAATTCTCTCTGGGAATGAGATAGATGCAGGCCTCAGGTTCTATCTGGAGAACAACCGAAGAATTAAAAATATATTCATGTAGATCTTATGAAACAGGATCATCTCTACAAGAGAATGTCCTTGAATAGCTCGCTTTCTTCTGTGGGCTTGCTCTTCTTTGCAGTGTCTACATCTCTTTCTACCTCTTCAAGAACTCTGTCTTTTATGGCATCGATCTCCTCCCTAGAACAGAATGCAAGAAGACGATTTCTTGTATCCTCCATACAATCGTTTTTCCTTTCATTGTCTATTTCTCCCTTGGCTCGGTAAGACTCTCTCTCATCTGCTGTGGAGTGTGTGCAGAGTCTATATGTGTCGATCTGTACAATGATCGGGCCTTTCTCAGACGAGTACCTTCTGGCATACCTTAAAACAGATATCAACCCAAATATGTTGTTGTGTGCAATTCGAATCCCGGGCATGGTCCCTCCTCGGAGATAGAAGTTCGTATCTGTACTAATACTCTCTGCAGAAGTCCACATTCCATATCTGTTGTTTTCACAGACAAAGACTATAGGAAGCCTCCAAATCATTGCCATATTAAAGCTTTCCCATACCTGTCCTTGATTCGCTGCCCCGTCTCCATAGAAAGCATAGCAAACCCTGTTTCCTTGATCTCTATCCTGAAGTAGCCTTCCTTTATACTTCAGTGCATATGAGATCCCCAATCCAAGAGGAACTTGTGCACCAACAATTCCATGTCCTCCAAAGAAGTTCCGGTTGTATAAATGCATAGACCCACCTTTGCCTTTGCACACCCCGGCTTGCTTTCCGAGGACTTCTCCCAGAATCTCTAAGGTCTTGCACCCGGTAACATATGCAAGCCCGTGGCATCTATACGAAGATATAACCATATCCCCGTCCAATTCATGTTCAAGAGCTGCGTATATTCCTTCCTGTCCAATCGAGAGGTGGCAAAAGCCTCTAATGCTCTTTTCTTTGTACTCCCTGTCCATTATCTCATCTGTAAGTCTGATCTTCATCATCTGCTTGTATATGTAGACCATCTCGTCCACCTCAAGCTTTTGCACTATATCAATCTCCTCTTTTGTAATTCCATGGGTCTGGATAGAGTTCAATATCCCTTGAGCATCGCAATGTATATACCTCTTCTCTTGCATGGCCTCAGACCAGCAGTTCTACTTTAGCTATTCTTTGTAACAATGTTTTGTTCGATGTGGTTGAGAGACAATGAATAAGGTTACCCTTCCCATCAAATGGCCAGTCAAAGAATCCTGGATGCAGTTGATTTGATCAATAATCTTTTGAAGACATTACCGATGCACCCGAAAACCATGAGATGCCATGGATTGTTTATTCCCAGAGAAATGGTTGGAAGCTTAAGAAAAAAGGCATTAGAGAACACGCTTCCTATCCTAGAAAGGATTATAGACGACATCAGATCTACACAGGAGAAGCATCGAAGGATAGATTCTAACGAGATATGCAATAGAAGGGAATTTGCAACAAACCAGCTCCGCAAACTGAGACTTTCCATGGAAAATGAATTTGAAGAAAATAGAGTCAATGAAATCAAGAGCCTGCTAAGTGAGATTGAGTACTACGAGAAAATTGGAGTGAGACTTATAGACAAGGTAAGCATTGGAAAAGAGGTAGCCCTAAACATATTCAGAACATTATCCCATAGTAGGGAAGGGCCTACAGACCCATACATAGGTGAATATCTAAAGAAAAGAGTTAGTTTCTCTCATGAATTCCCATCGGACATCGAAGTCTCATCCTTGAAAGCAATGCTAAGGTTCCTACAAGAGAACATGGATTGCAAATGACTTGGAGAGACAGCTGTTCTGTAGCAGACAAGAATAAAGTTTAATATAATCTTTTTCTTCTCAGATATCTTAAGGTACAGTGCCTTGGCCTTCTTGCCCAGGGCCATTTATCACCACACGCTTGTTTCTCAAGGATGATGTGTTCATTCCCACTCTTGTCTTTTCTACAAAGTTGGGCAGCTTTGGCGGCGGCGTTTCAATGTTGATTGAGACAGCTATTCTAATAAGTATAAGGTTGAGGAGGTTCAGACACAATGATGGAATGGCTATGGTGACGTAGTAGTACTTTATCATCGAGATATTCTTCATAATTATTCTGGTACATGTCATTTGGTTGGTGCACTCCATGAAATACAGAATTATATTTCTAATGGATGCATTGTTATAGAGTCTTCCAAGCTGCCTGGACACATCAGACTGATAGCTTATCCTGATATAGAGAAGCATGGTGATCAGCATGAGAAACAAGAATATCCCAGTTATGAAGTATAGTCTCATGTATAGCCTAGTCTTGCTGTTGATTCCACAGCTTGCAAACAGCCCCAAGGTTATGTTTGTCATCGATGTGGTCCTGAATATCGTGGTTATTCCTCTGATTCCCATCCTAAGGTGTTCGGCCTCCATGCGCACAAACATCAGATGTGGAATGAGGAAAAACGGCAAGGGAATATTGATGACAATCAATAGGACAGAAACAAGCTGGCTCAAAGACCTTACATTCTTGAATGCCGTAGTTGTCATTACATCCATAACCTGGTTGATTTTTAAGGCCGAGGCCCTCCAATAGAAGTTCTTTGCTTTAAGGGGCAGTGCTTTCAACCTGCCCTAGTAATAAAGGAGGGCTGCCTGAACTTCAATGCATCCGCTCAATCCTTCCTTGTCATTCAGCCCATGCCCATGTTCCAAGGGCTTTTTACCTTTGGCGCACCAATATTACACAAGTCAAGGCCCACCCATACATAAGGAATGTCTTTAATTCTTCTTTATGTTTTAGGAGCATTGGCAAAGAATTATGCCATCTTACTGAACTCATCTAGAGGGTTCCATAACTACAGACACATGGCAAACGTGTACATTTTCTATAATGTTTTGAAAGAAAACGGCTTTGAAGATGACCAGATCCTGATTATCTCCTACGAAAACCAAATCCAAGACGTGAGAAACGTTGATCGGGAAGGTGTGTACATAGATGAGGACCGGAGGATTCCTTATTCGGAATTCAGGCCGTCTGCAAGTGCCCTTGAGGATCTTTTGAATGCGATTTCTGGGAATTGTCCCAAGTTGAAAGATGCAGATGAATCCTCAAATGTTTTTGTGTACCTCAATGGGCATGGGAATGAAACATTCCTAAAGTTTGGAAATATCCGCTTTATGACCAAGGACGATCTTATGTCAAGAATTCCAAAACTTGCGGGGAGGGTTGGCAAGGTTCTCCTTGTGCTTGATACATGCCAGGCAGATGCTTTGGTTGATAGAGACGCCCTGCCCGACAATGTATTTATAGTGGCAACAAGCAAGCTAGGGCAGCCAGCCATCTCTTCATTCAGTTCATCGCTCATATGTACAAACGTTGTTGATAATTTCCCATACTTCTTCTTCAAAAGGTTTGGAGAGGGAATTAATAGAAAGGCCAAGCTTACAGATTTATTTGGAGAGCTCAACAAGGAACCTCTTGGGTCTGAACTTGTCTTTGATGAAGAGAAGGACTTTAGATTTGAAGACTTCTTTGTACAGAACAGCCATTCCGAGCTTCTCCCCTTCAAGGAAGGATGAATGTGCCCTATTAAAGAACATGGACTTTGTAGTCTTTTTGTATTAACAGCAAGGTCCCCTGATGGAAGGAGAGGAAAAGATCTCTGCCTCTAGAAGAAAGGTGAATGAGAGTGGATGGGATGAGTATAGTATCCTCAATGACAGTGGCTATGAGAAAAGAAGCGTGGATAAAGAAAACTCTTTAGAATGGAAGTCATTTGAAAATGAAGGAGATGGCATCTCTACAAGGTCTCAAGGAAATATAGACTGTGGGTTGAGTGGAGAAATATCTTCTATAAAGAGGCACAGATGTGATGTAGAAGCCAACAAGGAAAAGAATGTCTCACAGGCCTTGAGAGTGAAGGAGAGTGTAACAAGAGCCCCCGAGCCTAACGAGATAGGAAGAGAACATTCCATAGCAAAAGAAGCTTCCAGGAGAAATGTCTCTGAATATCAAGAGGTTGTGCCAAACATTTCAAGGCAGAGATATGAGGAGCACATGAGAAAGGCAGATTGTGTGAGTAAGGAATACAAGCCTGGGGATGAGGTGTCAGGGGGAGGTGGTGAAAGAACTCAGGAAATACAAATACAGAAGGAAGAAAACATGAGGAAGGCCATTAAGATACAGGAGGAAGATATCCAGGCCAAGAATCAGGAGATTCTTCTGCTCAAAGAAAAAATATCGAGGCTTGAATCAAAACTGGAGATAGAAGGAAAAGAGTATGTGCGGGGGTGTGTTCTCCGAGGAGAGGAGGCGATAAGGATAGTCGAAGAGGAGTTAAAGAAGGAAAGGGGAGACTTCCTAAAGAAGATCGGAGAAGAGGCGGAGAAGACAAGAATGCTATTGAGGAGAATTGATGGACTCAAGAAGATCATAAATGAACTAGTCCGGAAGATAAGGGAAATGAAGCAGAAAACAGAGGGATCGAGGCGGGAGGACAAGCTCTAGACATAGTGTGTCAGGATAACCCCAAATGTTTGACTCGGAATACTTCAAGAGCCTTCTAAATGAAACAACAGCACTGATAGCTAACAAGGTGGATGAGGGAAGCAATGGGGAGGAGATGGAAGCTCGCATTGAAAGCAACATCACGACATTAAAGTACCTTACAAGGAAAATAACAGATGAAGAGCTGCGTAGTAAGACTCTAAAAAGAATAGACATGCTGTGTGCTGAGCCAGAGGTGTTTGAGATGAACGAAGTAAGGAACAGGGCACCTGGGATTAGAAAGAGTAGTGAATTCTCAGATAGGATAGAAAGAGACATTCTCAAGTATACTAAAAGGTTACATGGAAAGGTTAAGGAGTTTATGGAGAGTGTGGATGTGGACAGTAAGGTTCTGGGCGAGGTGACAGATAAGATGTCTAGAAATTTGATGGGGACATCTGAGACACTAAGATCTTTAAAGTTAAAAGGCCGAAACATTCCTGCCTTAGGAATTCTTACCTCTGTGATGGCTACCTTTATTGTGATGTATTTTGTCATAAGATTTTTGTAGAAATCCACAAAACATACTTTAATCAGAAGCTTTTTCACTAAACTTATTGTTTATATATCATCTTGAATTTCTTCCTTGCCTCTTTTTCTCTCTAGGAATATTTCCTTCCCGGTTCTTCCACTCTTTCGGCTCACTATTCTTTGCGTTTTCTTTCTCCAATTTAAAAAGTCTTCCTCTGTGATTCTTTGGTCGTCATCCACACTATAACAAGCTGATATTCTTTTTGTGTCCTTTCCTATGCCGCTTTCCTCCAGCTTTCTAAAAGTCATCCTGATTATGTCAAAGATCATAGGAGTCGAAACATACCTTTCTGCTTTCTGAATCACACCTTCCAGAACCTCATTCTCTACATTGGAAAGTACTTCAGGAATGCTGTTTGGATAGTCTTCTCGGCAGCGGAACTCAAAGTATTTATCTCCAACCGATATCTTGTATATCTGCCCTGTGCTCTCTGCATAATGCCTCAAATTGCTCCCAAAAATGTATTTTAGAGCATCGTGTTCATCCATGGGCTATGTCTTTCCAGGATATTCCTGCATGGCCTATCTTCTTTCAATCAAATTATTGAACTGGGAGAATTCCTCCTTGTCCTCGACAGCTTGGCAGAGAACTTCCAGAAGTCATTTCCAATATTTAAGGATGCACTTGAGACTATTGAAAGCTCGGTGGAAGAGCTTATAGCAAAGGAAAATGATCCCAAGCAAAAGGAAATCCATGCCTCTTTTTTAAATATGGCCAATGAGCTTACAACCAAAAGTCCAAATGAAAGCCAACCAAGCTTCGGAAGACAAAAAGGAGGAGGTGGAGGAACTCCTTTGTAATATCAGAGAAGGTCTTGTGACCCTTGTTCAGAATCTAAGTAATTTTAAAGACATCTATGGTAAAGGCCTTGACGATATTATAAGTAACGAAAGGATCTTTGAGACACTTATTTGTACAGGAGAAACTCTGGGTAAGGTTTCACCTTTCTTGGCTAGTTTAGAAAAGAATATTAAGTCTTTTGAACAAAAAGCATCCTTACCAAAAGGGGCAATATACGAAGAGATGTACCTATCCCTTGCCAAAAGGGGCAATATACGAATAGGTGTACCTATATTCCCAACTTATACCTTATATAATCTACTAATGGCCATTTCTACCTTAGAAAAAATGAATGAGGTGTTGGGGGATATCGTCAAACCTGAAAAGGATAGAGGAGTTAAGAGGCCTATTGCAGATCTTTATCTTGTATTTGTTTTTGTCTTATGCATACAGACTCTTCTCTACTACATTACCCAGAAACACCCTAAGGTATGGAAGGTGTGCAATACAACATTATACTCACTAACTGTGGGTGGAAGCATCTTGTATCTTGTATGGGTTGTGATCAAGAGTTACCGGAGTGAGGGTAGGATGAAAGAGATCCTAAGACAAAGATTGAGCGGAGTGATAAGCATGATACCTATGGTGGTTGGGATTCATCACACAGAGATGATTGAGTGTGGGACTTACACCCTAACTATGATGGGTATCAGTGCTATTATGGTGTATGCACAGGATCTTGTAGAGAACAAGATGACATGGAGACAGATATGCGTAGTTGGTGTTAGGAACGCGATATTAGCTATAGCATATTGCTGTGAGATTTTAAGAATGTTTATGAGGAATGAGTATAGGTTGAGGTGCTGTGTATGTGGAGGGGTTGTTATATTCGTTTTACTTGTTGGAATTTTGTGTTATAGTTCGAGTATGAAAGAGGGGAGTAAGACCAGGCTTCCCGGGAATGTGATGTTTGTTCTGACGGTAGTTATTGGGACGTTTGTGTCATGGAGGTCCAGGAATGAATACTACCATCTAAGGAGTAGGGACGGCTATATAGAAGGAATGGAAGAGGCTAGATATGATTCTATTAAAGGACGAGTGAGTTGTGATTATTAGATATTGGTGAGTCAACTTTGGAGCAGTAAAAGTATTTTGTGCTTGCAAAGGGAATGGTCATTGTGTCCACGGAGACCAAAGTAATTCATAAAAGCACCAGGCTTA